TACATAAAACAGATCATCATACAAGGCTTTAAGAGGTGCGCGTTGACAAGTCATCATAATCCGCCATAAATTTCAGTTCTACCATACTAATGTCTATTCCATATGCAGCTACAAGGACCAGACGGTCATGGAGCCCTTTTCGCCCGGTACGAATGTCATCGTGGGTCGCAATGGTTCTGGAAAGAGTAACTTTTTCGCCGCGATACGATTCGTCCTGAGTGATGCATACACCCAAATGAATCGCGAGGAACGCCAGGCGCTACTACACGAAGGCTCAGGTTCGGCAGTTATGTCTGCTTATGTCGAAGTTATCTTCGATAATAGTGATGACCGATTTCCGACCGGAAACAAGGAGGTTGTTCTACGCCGCACAATTGGTCTAAAGAAGGACGAGTACTCGGTCGATAAGAAGGTCTCTACCAAAGCAGATGTCGCAAATCTGCTCGAGGCCGCCGGATTTTCGAGGTCGAACCCCTACTATATCGTACCACAGGGACGTGTCACGGCCCTTACTAATATGAAAGAGTCGGAGCGGTTGAATCTACTAAAGGAAGTTGCTGGAACTCAAGTTTACGAATCCCGCCGCGCAGAGTCGCTTAAGATCATGACGGAAACGAATAATAAAAGGGAGAAGATCGACGAACTACTAGATTATATTAAGGAACGTCTAAGCGAGCTGGAGGAAGAGAAGGAGGAGCTGCGCGACTACCAGGACAAGGATCGCGAGCGTAGATGCTTAGAGTACGCGTATTATCACAAAGACCAAGTCGCTACGCAGGAGGCTCTGGAAGAATTAGAAGAATCGCGTCAGGGTGGTATCGAGGATACGGACGAGAACCGCGAAGCATATAACTCGGGTATGAGAGTCATCGCTACTCTAGACGCCGAGATACATAAGCTCCAACAACAGATGGAGCTTCTTCGTATAGACCGTCGGCAGCTTGACGAAGACCGCCGAGAAAGTGCCAAGGCGATGGCGAACGCCGAGTTGGTCGTCAAGAGTTTATCGGACAGCATGTCAGCTCAAGAACAAGCCAGATCCCAACATGACGCAGAGCTAGACGAAGTGAAGACGACAATAGCACAGAGGGAGGCCGAACTAAAGAAGTTGACACCTGATTTTGAGAAGGCAAAACGGAAGGAGGCAGAAATCAAACAAGCTTTAGATTCGGCAGAAGCTGGACGGCAGCGCCTCTTTACAAAGCAGACCAGGGGAAGTCAATTCAAAAGCAAGGCAGAGCGGGACGCGTGGTTGCGAAAAGAAATAGATGAACTCAACGTAACGCTGAGTCAGCAAAGGGCGAATCGTCTCGACGCTGATGAAGAAGTTAAAACTATTCAGGCTACTATCCAGCAGCTCGAGAACGAGATTGCAAACCTACGACAGAGAAACGAAGGATTTGGTGGCGATCGACTCGCTCTCGCCGAAGAAGTCACCAACGCGAAAGATGTCCTAGACAAGCTCAACGAAGAGCGAAAACTACTCCGCCGAGAAGACGACAAGTTGGAGACAATCATCGCAAACGCTCAAGGCGAGTTGGCCAATGCCGAACGGGAACTATCTCATACCATGGACCGCTCCACCTCTCGAGGTATAGCATACATACAACGAATGAAGCGCGAGAATGACATCCCGGGTGCGTACGGTACGTTAGCTGAGCTCCTGGATGTTAACGAGGCGTACCGGTTGCCGGTAGAACAGGTCGCTGGTGCCAGTTTGTTTCACTACGTGGTCGATAACGACGACACTGCGACATATCTGGCCAGTACGCTTCAGAAAAACTTCGGAGGGAGAATCACATTTATGCCACTCTCTAGATTAAAGCCACGGATGCCGAACCTTCCAAGAGCTAACGATGCGGTTCCGTTACTCAGCAAGATCAAGTACAGCGCCGAATATGAAAAAGCGTTTCAGCAAGTCTTCGGCAACACAATTATATGTCCAAACCTCACAATTGCCAGCCAATACGCGCGAAGCCATGGTGTAAATGGTGTTACTCCAGACGGAGATACCAGTAATAAGCGTGGTGCAATGACGGGTGGATATATCGATACGCGAAAATCGCGTTTAGAAGCCGTACGAGCCGTTAACAAGTGGAGGGAAGAATACGATCAGCTAAAGTCTAAGGCAAACGACATACAAAAGAGAATAGAGCAAAAGGACCAAGAGATCACCAACGCGTTAGGCGAGGAGCGCAGGCTAGCGCAGAGACTCCGACAAATGGAAGATGGCTATGGACCGCTGCGAGCAGAATTGAATGCAAAGAATAACCAGGTAGATCGTGAAAGAGATCGACTTGAGGCTGCAATCAAACGGCGAGATGTTGTCGAGAGGAACATGAAGCAGTTCCAAGATAACCTCAGCGCACATGAAGCCGAGCTGGCTTCGGACTTTAAGAAGGTCTTGACAGCTAGCGAGGAGAAACAACTTGAGAACCTCGGTGCCACCGTTCAAGAGTTACAAAAAGAGTGGAATGAGGTCAGCAATAAGCGGAGAGAGCTTGAAAGTCGCAAGCGAAAACTAGAGCTGGATCTGCGAACAAACCTCCAGCTCAAACTCGATCAGCTCACTAGTCAAGCGTTTGAGACTGCTTCCAGTGGTACTACTAACTTAAAAGAAGCCAAGCGAGAGCTCAAGAAAGCACAAACGGCAATAGCTTCAGTTCAGAGCAAGATTAAGGCCAACGATCAACAAATCGAATCCGCCGAATCTAAGATTGCGAGCCTAGAAAAGCAAAAGGCTGAGAAGGAAGCACAACAACAGGAGATTGCAAGAGAGATCAAGAAGCAGGAGAAGAGGATGGATAAGAACAGGCAGATGAAGGCTTTGTTGACAACAAGGGCGACAGAGCTAGCCAAGAATATTCGAGACCTCGGTGTCTTGCCAGAAGAAGCCTTCGAAAAATACGAGAGGTTTGATCATAAGACCGTACGTCTAACCCTTCGTAAGAAGACATGTTCATTACCAGCTAACTCTGCATCATAGGTTGTATCGCGTTTAAAGAAGGTTAACGATGCCCTGAAGAAGTACAAGCATGTTAACAAGAAAGCTTTCGAGCAATACAACAGCTTTACCAACCAACAAGACCAGCTACTGAAGCGTCGCAAGGAACTCGACCAGTCACAGGCGTCAATTGAGGAGCTTGTTGCTCACCTCGATCAACGCAAAGATGAGGCGATCGAGCGAACATTCAAGCAAGTGTCCAAGGAATTTGCTACCATCTTCCAACGTCTAGTGCCTGCTGGCCATGGCCGCCTAGTGATTCAACGCAGAGCCGATCGACGAGTCGACCCTGACGACTCTGACGAGGAACAACGGAGTAGCGTAGAGAACTACACAGGCGTCGGTATCAGCGTCTCGTTCAACTCCAAGACCGCAGACGAGCAACAGCGCATCCAGCAGCTCTCAGGTGGTCAAAAGAGTCAGTCGCACAATCTTCTATTTAATATATCATCCTAGACTAACAAGCATAATAGGTCTCTGCGCTCTCTGTCTCATCTTTGCCCTCCAACAGACAGAATCCAGCCCTATGGTCATCTTCGACGAGGTCGACGCCAACCTGGATGCGCAATACCGAACAGCCGTGGCTGGGCTCCTGCAGTCCATTTCGGCTGAGGCGGGCACGCAGTTTATCTGCACGACGTTCCGACCGGAGATCGTGCACGTGGCCGACAGGTGCTACGGCGTGCTGTTCCGCAACAAGAACAGCACGATCAACTGCGTGAGTACGGAGCAGGCGCTCGACTTCGTCGAAGGCCAGGCACCGAGGTAAATTCGCGGCAAAACCACGAGTCATGCTAAGCCGAGGGGTGCGGTGCGGTGCGGGTCTATGTGTATATGGTCTTAGGCGAAGGAGTTTACGTGAAGTCAAGCCATACTGCGTTGTATACCATGAGGCACGCGAGAAGCTTGACGCTGTTATTTATTGCCGCTGTATGATGTAGCTTATGCTTCGAGGGATGCTAATGAAAATTATTTATTATTCATATTTAAGGGAAAGATATAAGTCTTGAGACCTCTTGATCTGACCAGACACTCCTAATTCTATCGCATAAGCTAAGGGCTAACTTCACTACCTTTTGAGGTAATGGGTCTTTTTGACTATTCACTTCTTAGCAGGGTTGAGATTGAAGCTGATTCTCAATCTAACAGTCTTGATCTCATATGATCTTGGTGTAGTGGTTGGCCACGTAGTTTAAACAGTCCGTCAACAACCAGGATCCCAGACATCCAGGCATTTCATACAATACGCTTCTACAAAGCCATGACTGGCCCATATACTGGTATAAAATGTTCGAGGGTGGATCCAAGCACCTAAAGTAATCGAATAATGAATTCGCTACTGTGAAGGACTATAAACCTATTCCATTCAAATCATTGATACGTCCACAAGCTCTTTATCTAAGGTATTCTTGTTCTACACTATCGACCTCCTCAAAGGATGAGTTGGTTGCGGAGGGGGGGGGGGGGCTTGGCTAGAGATAAGCCAACCACTACCGCTGTGAAAACATGCTTTTTGATCTCATTCAACTAACCTGACCATTGTACGAGGGCACTATTCATCGGCTTAAGGTATGCGAACTGCTGATTCGGGTGAAGTCAAGTCAATGTATGCTATTAAGAGTACGCGATGTGACGGTCCTATAGCCAGAGCTGGTCCGGTCTAAGGCTGGCATTCTCATAAGAATGACAAGGACCGTGACCAAAAGGCTGATTGGGTAAAGGATGAAAGATGGGAATCGTCTCATCTTCGAATCTTGAGTCACTTGGGCCTTCGTCGCTTCAGACGAATCTAACCTCGTAAGAACCGACGGTGGCCGTGCTGCTAACTGCCGTAAAGCTTGTTAAGACTATTTCGATCCTAACTTATTAGAAAGCCAGCTCATCAAAGGCCTTGCTAAATATACACCTAAGGTAAGTGTGCTAAGGTAACAGAATTACAACCTGATCACGATTCGAACTTCACTACTTCAAAAAGCTGCAGAGTTTAACAATGGGTTGATATTTTACTATACTATCCGTGTACTAACGTAATTCTACAAGCAGGCGAGTAACAAGAAACGCTAGCTAGTAAACCATCTCAGTCCGTAAGACCTAGGCCGTCTAACACACATACATATATATATAAACGTCGACGACCTTAGATATCCCAACACGACAACGAAATGTTATACTATATAGCGCCCCCGTCTCATTTCATTTCATTTCATCTCCAGCCATACAGCCAGCCAGAACAGCTTACCGAGATCGTCTCGGCTCTCGCCAAAACGCAACACTATGCGAGTCTTCGGGCCCCAGGCCGTCGTCCTCGTCCTCGGCGCGGATACCCAAGCTCTCCCTCCAGACGCGCTCTTCGTGCTCCGAGGGGGACGCCGCACGTGTCCGTGACGAGCTCCGGCTCCTGGCAGTGTCGCTACGACTACGGGTGCGGCTATGACTATGGCTATGACTATGGCTGTTGCCGCGGTCACGAGTATGGCTGCGATGGTGACTACTGCCGTGATCTTGACTATGGTGGCGACGTTGGCGATGGCTGCGATCATGGTTTCGATCGTGGTTATGGCTCTGGCTGCGACTAATGTGGCGATCATGGCTTTGGCCACGCTCATTACTACGACTATGACTACTATCGTGATCGTGGCTATCACGCTGGGGAGAAGGCAATTCAGTCACCGAACTCGAGAAGGGGCTCCGATGCGGCAGGACAGCCGTGTATCCCTGCGAATCCCTGTCCCCGGTAGTCTTATTCCTTGGGCGGGTGCTCCTCGTAACGTCAGACTCGCCAGTCAGAAATCTTCTCAATAAACTCCCCCCATCCGCTCGTTGGTCAGAGGAATACACAGACGAGCTTGTGGAATGTCTAGAGTTCTGAGTCGGGCGATGACCTAACGCGGTAGCAGGCCGACGGGTTGGCGAGCGGGTCCTTGGAGGACGGTCGCTGTCGTTGTTGCGATTGGTATTGTTACGCCTGTACTGCGAGGGGATCTCCGGCACGGGCGGCGCGTCCCTTATATTGTCCACGGTGTACACCGTGACGTCGGTCCAGACGCTGTCGGTGGCGGTAGCGTGGATTGGCGGCGCACTGCGCGAGCGATGCCCCCTTATATTGAGAGGAGAAGGGGCAGCTGACATATGACTGAAATCCCCTGGAGGCCGAAATGCAGGATGGGCCATGGATAAGACCGACTTGGTATCGTCTGGTGTCAGATCCGACTTTGATACCTGAGAACTGTACCACTGCGTTACCTTTAGCCTACCTCTTTCTTCCGCCTCAAAATCTCGGTCGAGGTCTGGGTGGTCTCCCAAGTCATTCAGATCATCTAGATCATCCGGGTCTTCCGGGTCTTCGTAGCCATCCGATAAATCTTGCTCCTCATTAATAGATGGCAAAGGATCACCTGCAATTGTCGATTCCCCGAGCTCTGAGTAGGGGCTCAGACTGTCAGGCCTATACACACTTTTCACATTGTCTTTCAAGCTATACAACGCAGCCCTCCTCTGATCTTCCGCGCCCTCTAGATCGGCTACAGCTACGGGAATCCCGCTCTTCGTCCTCCTCGTATAGTGCTTATTTTCTGCAACGTACCTCAACTCTGTTCCACCATCGCTTGTCTTTCTTAATTCGGTATAAGCTGCATTACTTTTACTACGTTCTTTTCTCCGTTGAAGTCGCCACTCTTTAAGTTGAGGACGGACGTGCCTGAGCTCCTCGAGTACGCTATCGCTCATAGCTATGCATTGCGCTGCCCTCTCCTCCGTGAGTTGCCTAATCCATTCGTCGACGTAGCGTCTAAGTTTTGGTTCCCTAGCTCGCCGCTTGGCTGAACGTGATGGACGTGAAGGACGTGATGAACTTGAGGAGCGTGACGAGCGTCTCTCGGTCCGGTCAATAAGGGTGGTCCGCAAGTCGGCAAGCACACGGGCATTGGCACCCATAGCACCTAGAATACAAGCCTCACAACCAGACTGAACAAAGATCATGTGGCTCTCAAAGGGTGGTGTTCCATAGCACTCGCGGTATAAGTCCGGATCTGTCCACAGGGCAGCAATAGAGTCCACTCGTCCGACGAAAGCAGCGAGAATTGGGTGATTGTTCTTGCCCTTCCACGAGCGTAGTACGTCCGTATGAACCGTTACCTCGTAAGCGACGGCTAAGAAAAAGCGACGGATAAGCCAGGGGTTGAGAACGGAATGTGTCTTACACAACACTGCCCTCGGGTCCATTACTTCTAGGTTAACCTTTTCGGCGATTTTTATGAAGAGACGCTTTAATAAGCCCGAATTATGAAGCAATTCATCCGGAAGATTTTTAATTTTCTCCTCCTGCCTGTTCAGCCATCTCCTCGACGGAATAGCAACTCCATACTCGGGTCGTCGGGATAGGAGCTTTGTAAGGCGAGTAACGTTCTCGCTGGACGGATGGTGAAGATCGATACTCATCCGTGCTGTATATCTCTGTATCTATAATATCCTAAGTGATCTTAATATTTCTGATTTCGTCTTATTTGGTCTGATAGTTTAGATAACTTTCTGTAACTAGTAGTGGTATAGTAAGTAAGGAATCAATGGTTGTTGTAAATTGGCCGCGGAGCGTTAATGCTATGTACTTCAGATTTTTGGGCATTGTTCCTAATCATATCGAAAACAGGCAACATCTACGCGAACTCTCGAGTAGTTGTGCAGCAGGCCTTTTGCTTCACCATAAATACCTAAGCATTTCTTTTGTTCCTTAACTATTAAAAAGTCGGTAACTACTCGTTCGTAGGACAAAGACATTATTCTGGTCGCCGCTCGACTTGGATCGACACAATGCTCAAAGAAACTTATGACGCTGCCTTTAGCTTCCGTCAAAGGGTTGGGAACTTTGAGCGAGTAGACTCACAGTAGTACTATCCTGCCAAGCCATAAACAGCCAAAGTGACTTTGTATTCTCTTTCAAGTGCCTATGTTCGAGGCTCACGCTCCGAGATTCACGCCCCGAGGCTCACGTTCGGGTGACAAAGCGGAAATGCGAGAATGCGGAAATACGGGAATATCGCATCTTCCGCAGCATAATATGCTCCCTAGAGTTGGGTTCTATATTTGAGAAAACGTCCCAAAAGTCGTCCCGTCTACGGCGGCGTAGAGGTTATAGACTAATTTTTATGTAACGGATGCTCAATGCCATGAAAACTATTAGCACAAAAATGCTGGCCAGAACGCCCTAGCCCCCCAACCGTTGCCTAAGCAAAGGCAATTGCGAGCTGTAACTGCAATGTCTGTCTGTATGCTAGGCCTAAATCCACCCCAAATATACAGGTTCGCCTTGGTATCACTGCCGTATCATCGGAATATAGAGGAATCGTTATCCCATTACCATTAGCCCGCAGCCGGACCTCGAGCCGGGTGGTACTCGTGCTCCCTCATACGCTCTAACCTAATCTTCGCCGCCTCAGTACCATCATCTGGAATGGCTGGCTCTCGGAACCACTCGTGCTCAAGAGCTTGCCGAGCTGTGATTCGTTTCGCCGGGTCATAAACGAAAATCTTCTGCAGAAGATCCAAGAAGGATCTGAGAAATGGGCTGGAGGCCGGTATGATATCCTAAATCTATGTCAGCAACTGAAGTAGGAGGACAATGGGTTAGTAACTAAGTCTTACACTTAACCGTTTCATATTCTTCACGAAGCGCCTAGACGCTCGTGTAGTTTCCGCGGTAGGGTAGTCCAATCTTAATCGCTTGAAATATCTGCCATCTGGATTAGTGAAGCTGTACACAAACTGAGTGAAGAGGGTCAACGTACTTGGATGCGGCGTTGCCCGTGCTTCGTGTAGCCATCTTATTGACAGCTTGTACGAGGTGACTGTCTATGCGACTATCACAAACATTCTCCATCATGGCCAAGTGCTCGAGATTATCGTGCGTCTGGAAGAGAGCATCGCCAGTAAAAAATTCCACCAATATACACCCAATACTCCATATATCGCAGGGGAAAGACCAGCCTAACCCAAGTATAATCTCAGGTGCGCGGTAGTGCCTGGTCGAAACAACAGATGAATGATACTCATCCTGGAACGTTGCGGATCCAAAATCGATGAGCCGAATCTCAGTGTCAAGTAAGACCTTGCGCTGAGTAGCCTGTCGGCTCACACCAGCCGACGAGGAAGGTATCCTACGATTGTAAGTGAACGTCTGATAGGCGCTATCACAAAGGAGGATATTCTCCGGCTTCAAATCGGTGTGGATGAGGTTTAGATCGTGGAGAACTGGGACCAATCAGTAACAGTAAAATGGTGCCGCGAAGGTATAATTGCTTACAAGCGACGCTTGTGAATAGTTGTCGGGCAAAGCTCTGGATCTGGCTATTAGGGAAAGGAACAAAGTTGTTGCTCTTGAGGAAGTCGAATACACTTGAACCGAGTAGGTCCATTACTATACAGATGTGCCCACGGTAGTCGAAACAGTCTCGAAGGTGTATACATCGGTTTCGGTTCTCCTCGTCGTTGGCCTTCAAAGTTTGAAGCACGCGTAGCTCAATTCTGGAAGCGTCCCGATACTTCTGCACGGCTCGGATGATTTTGATTGCAACCAGCTTGTTTCGTCTCCGGTCGCGGGCCTGAACAACTTTGCCGAAGGTACCTTGCCCTAACAGTTTTACCATTTGATCTGATAATATATTAGACGAGTAACAAGATGAGGAGGGAGGAGCTAGGAACGCACATTGTGATGTGAGGTCAGCATCAGGGACAACAATGTAATGACCGTCATCGTCGTCGACTCTAGCACCGCTTTGGTGGGAACGCTAAAACACGAAAGTTAATAATCAGTACGCACAGATGCAAGAATGGAACCGCTTACATCATTAACAACCCTAACAGTCACATCACCAGCTTTCTTGACAGGCTTCTGAGGAGGGCGGTATGTGACGAAAGCATCACCGAGAACTTCGACTTCCCTTCTCTTCGCTTCTTGAGCAATCTGCTGCCTGGTCCTCTTCCTCTTCTGACCAGTGTTATGACTCTCGTAGTCATATTGACTATTCGAGGACAAAGACCCGAGCGAGGTAGCAGCTGTAGTGTTGTGGGCCGACGTCGTGCGATCGGTAGAAGTAGAACCACTAGTAGAGGTTTGCTGGTAAGAACCATTTACACTTGGTTCGTACAAGTCATCATTTTGAATAACATCGTCCTTTCTTCGTCTCTTGGCTGTATGACGGGGGGTAGCATCATTCCCAACACCATTCGCGTATGTTCGTGACACAGTAGCGACCGAATACTTCTGTTCCTCCGGCTCGGGGGTGTCATGTATGACAATAACTTCTTTAGGCAAGCCGTTTTTATAGAAACTCTTCCAATCCGGTTCCTTAGAACGGCGACGTTTTCTCGGTTGGCTGTCGGGGAAGGACTGGGCTGCGGAGGCGGCGGAGGCGACCGAGGGAGGCATATTGGCGTGATTTGAGTCTAACCGAGGAGTAGAATTGGTTCTCGAGGAATCTTTGGTTGGTCTCGCAGTGGCTACTGATGCGGTTACTCCATTTGTAGAGGGTTGAATTGTTTGACTTGTGGCGTAGGATGTACTAGTAGTATACGAAGATGACGAAGAAGCGGCGTGGTGTCGATTAGAGACGGTCGCTGTCGAGGCTGTCGAAGCCGGGGTGGGGAGGATAGGGTTTGCAGAAGTAGCACCAGCAACTGATCTATATGAAGAACCACCGCCCTGTAGGTTTGAATAGGGCGGATAGTGATGAGTTGAGTGATGATGATGACGATAATGCGGAGGGAGTGTAGCCGTTGCAGTAGTCGGCGTTGACATTTTATTCAAATGTCAATAAATTGTGAGAGAGGAGGTGAAAGATCCCGTGGAGAGAGAGTTCTAGGATTGGGATGGTTGGGAATTGTTTCGTGTGCACTTTCCAAGAGTACAACACGTACCGGGGGGCCAGTGCAGGTTACTTTTTTTTTCCTACTGATGTCGCGCTGTTCGTGGCTGTTCGGGGCTGTTCGGGGCTAATTGCGCTGCCCTTAAGGGTCCTTTAGGTTAAAAGGCACTTGTTCGGCGCTGTAACTTAGGCGACGTTGGGCCTAGGATTTAAATCCTTACCGAAAAGAGTGCGGAACGCTCTTAACAGTGACCAGTAGTAGGCCCGTAGTAGGCCAGTGGTAGGCCAGTTTAATCGCGAAGGGAATAGCAACCGCTGCGACCGAATTCCAAGGTTCGTAGGCTGAGTTGGCAGCACCAATAAGCGATTAGGTACCTCCGTTTAGGTACCTACCTAACCTGCTAAGCAACCTGCTAAGCAACTTGCTAAGCAGAGTGGGTACGAACTAAAGAAATCCCAAATGTGGTGACTGTGATGTTAGGTAGGCCAGAACTTGCAGGCCAGAACTTGCAGGCCAGAACTTGCAATCCAAAGCGAACAATTAATTATCAATATTTTCCTAGGTAGTGATCTTTATTTTCCTTTTCCTCTATTTCCTCCTCAGCTGTTCGTTTTTGGCCTGTGGCATAGAGGGTTCGAAGGTCGGGGCTTCGGTAACCGAGGATAATACGGTTGATCGTAGATTGCAAGGTTGAAGTGCAAAGCTTTGTAGGTAGGATGATGGCTTCTGTCGTTGTATCGTCTCGTCTGCTACCAATGTGCAATTATGCACGTGATCAATGTCTTTATATTATTAAAGCGTTCAAAGATGATTGCTCGATCGAGTACTGTTGACGGTTTGGCTCTCGAAGGTGGAAGGACAAGACGTGCCTGTGACGAAAGTACTCGCTACAGGTGGTTGAAGTAGGGCATAGTCTTCTTGTTGACGACAGCATTAAGAACGACGGCCGAAAATGTATACTTGTCTACCTCTAGGAGACAAGAATAAGCAATAACACTCTTGGTGCTTCGAGGCAATTTCAAAGCAGAGAGAAAGGAGGAGAGGAATCTAGTCTCGAGTGTGAATTGTGAATGTGAATGTGAATGAAGTCCTGCGCTGCCGCAATGCAGGATGAGGTGGTGGTAATGATTTACTCGTGGGTTCTCTCATAACGCACCAGGCTGCCAGGCTGTGTGATACAGCAGAATACAGGGCAGATACAGGGCAAATACAGGCATGTGGTTGACAGATGCACATACAAAATGGAATATGTACATGGAGATACATAAGTTAGGTATGTACATGGCGGATTCACGGGTTCTGCCTCTTGTTTCGGACTTCGCCCACGCTGTTTGGCTGTGTGGTGAGAATGAAGTAATCGGTGGGTCTTCTTCGTCTTGCTAATTCGCCCCAGGAATTACTTATTACCACGCTATCATTACAACTTAAACCCATAGCGTCGATAGATAATATTAAGTACCTTCTATCTAAACCAAGTACCTGTGTGACATGTAAATACCTATACAGGTACATGTAATTTTTATAGTTAATACCAAAAATACCCCAATAACAATAGATTAATGACCCCTCCCCGCACGGTATGGGGGAGGAGCCAAAGATTGATTTTCTCAGATTCCGAAGGCAACAACCGTGGAGTTTCCACAGTATATATTTTATAAAATTTACTGTCTTCATCTTCCCATCGCCTCCGACGACCGACTTAAGAGGGCACCAACCTACATGGTTAAAAACAACATTATCTCACATTCAAGGATACCTAACATAGGTAGGTACCTGATGTACCTGAACATTGAAATCAGGTATCAGGTATCAGGTATCAGGTGTCATGGGCAACGGATATTATCTCCAGGGTATCTGCTATCGCTGATTTCTTCCCCGTCGATACCGGCAACCTTTTACTTGACTTACTTACACACACGTTTGACAATGTTGGCCAGCCATCTATATCATCATACATCAGACATAAGTAATTACATATTCCCAACATCCGGGGCTGCTTATCAAGATGGGGAAAACAGTTGATATGTCTCGACAAGTTTTTTTTTCTTAATTCGTTTCGCTCGTATCCCGATTTCTTTCTTCTCTTACTTTTAAAGTAGACCCTTTCCTACACAGGAAGTGATTGCGCTGGATTGGCTGGTCAGTGGGACCCCTTCGGGAATACTACCTCATTACCTTAGATACCTACCTACCTACCTCGCTAGAATTCCATCGGGTCCATTCAAAGGACCCCTAAACCCTCTTCTGCCAGCAGTAAACGACATCGCAGGCGGCAAATATCGCCACATACATATGTACTATTGGTACTGGACATCTGGTTCGCCCAAGTTTGTCTGCTTCTTTAGCGTCGCCTATGCATCTCTTGCATCTCTTGCAGCATTAGCTTTTTTTTCCCCTCACCTCAGTACAACGCAACTAGTATCACGATTTTTCACTTGCAGCCTTATCGATTTCAATGGGTCCGGTCTTTGCTTCAATCATACATACATAGCTGATGACTACCTACTTGAAGGAACAAGTCCCCGTTCTGCCCGTCCCAAGCCGTCCGTAATAAGTAAGCAGAGAGGCTTTTTTTTCTTTCTTCTTTTCTGCCTGCGTGGCATCCCATGATTCTTGAGCACAAATCCCGGTTTAGGATTACTCGGCCCATGGCTGTTTTTTGAACGACGTGAGTCTTCCAATTATCAGCCGGCAACTTGAGACGTGCGCATTTGGCTTGATAATAACCAGTTCTTCAAGTAGGTATGTCTACTAAGTGGAAGGTATCTTATAACAAACAATACCTACTTCATAAGACGTTTTCTTTAGCTAGGTAGTAGGGAATATTATTCGTCCACCGGCTGGACCTCAACCATTCCCTGTTACCACGCTGCAATCCAAGCCTCCAAGGGAGTCGGGACAACGGGCCAACGTTTTCATCTGACGAGAAACTAAATTAAAATGAACCCACCGCTTGCCTAGCTTACACCAGGTGTACACTGACAATCGTCAATTACATTCCAAAGAAACGTTCAATCCCGACTTGTTTTCAGCTCCAAAGCCTAGTGTAAAAAGGGCAAAGCCTTTTGATCGACAATTTTGAGTTATCACTACAGAAAGAAGATGAAGACAACTCAAATAATAAGGTCGTTAAGGTCGTCCGGTTTCGAGACTATAAGTACCTAACCACCTTGTAATATCATGACTCGCCAAGTCTGGTTTACATTTAAGTGGTTTGAGGAATTATTACGTTGCCCTACACCTCTTTGATGTCCAATTCTTACGCATCCCTCTGCGCAGTTAAGTATGCCCACGTCCTAATGAAGTCATCCGCTTCCCGACAAAAAGTCGTCCGCTTCCTACATCACGGGTTATTTCGCGCCTTTCCTCATGTAAGTGGTCCCTTCGGCCCAGCATTAAGGCGGTTATCAAATCTTATGATGTTATTTTTGAACAAGTGTTCAATGCCGTACCATCAATAATATATGTATATTCCTACCTGGGGCAAGTTTTATGTACCTAGGTAGGTATATACAATTCCCAGATCGGGGCCCAGACCGAGCCAAGTTCTAAATAATCCTCCTGCGGCATTGGCCAGATAAATAAACCTATAAAAAGGCACCCAGTTTTACATATGCGTTTCGTCGTCATCAGAATAGGCGGGCTTTTTAACCGTACGCCGGGCAAACCGAATATAATAAATACATTTAGTAATACGATTATGTCTCGCATCTCAGAACCGAAGCGTCTTCTACCATAGTAATAAAAATGACTTATCTAGTGTAATGGCAGCAGTGCCGCTCGTCAGCCCTTGTTAATCCTTCATGAGGCTCCATTGAAGCCTTCGTATTTCCTTTCTATGCGCAATAAATAGGATACTATTCCCTACATATAATAAACCCACAATCCCTATCTCCGCAATCTACACTACGGTCCTTCGTCTGTATTCCTTTGTAAAGCCAGAATACCTATCTAATGTAATGTAATACGCAGCTGTGTCGCGCTCAGACCGCCAGATCTTAGAAAGGATCTCTAGCTCGCCCCTGTAGCGAGCAAGCACTCCTCGTGGAATGGAAGGATACGTATTTAGATTCATATTATTAGAGGTAAGTACCTAGGTAGGCAACATGTAAGAGAACAGCCCCTCCTAAACCCTGCCGGCCATGGACAAGTCTTGCCGAACTCGTCACATGTACCCCGGGCACGCGTCAAGAAGCACGCCAAGACGGTTTGACGATCGAAGCTGAGACCCGGAAACCAATTTCCTTCTCGCATCCTGAAGGAGGCAATTGCTACGAGCTATTTAATAAGAGGGTTTGATAACTGTTTCTATTTCATTCTATTTCATGTCCTTCTTATCTCCGCGTCTAGTGACGCTAACAAAGCTACCATTGCGTCTCATCTATGACGAAGTATAATCTCTTATAGGTAGGTACTAACTGTGCCATGACATCAAACTATGTGATACTTGTTTGACGTCTTCTTCTCCCCTCAAACTAAATCATCGAGACCATGTTAAGTAGCAAACACAATCCCCCTCGACTTGTTTCGCTCCAGAAACGCCTAACGTGGCTACCTAACGCCGCCGAACAATGATGAATTCCGTCTAGATACCACGATTGAACACGACCATCCCCCCATCTCCTCCACGGCCGTGAAACTCCTCCTCTAAGCTATCTGCGCTGATCTTCTGGCGCTGCGGGAACGCCGCCAACGCAAACGGTAGCGCGAGGAAACTCATGCCGAGGATCAAGCCGAGGTTGATGGGCAGCGTGTAGCGGGGGTTCTTCTTGAGCCACTCGGTGCGCTGAAGGCGCACAAGGATCAGCGGCGGGACGACCATGATGGGGCTGCTATTGAAGACGCGGCTGAGCGCCGTCTCGCTGACCGCTAGTGTCGCGGCCTTCTTGCTCTTGCCCAGGCTCGGCACGTCATTTTCAGCTTTGCCCTCCTTCGCCAGCCGCGCCTTGTCCGCCTCCGAGAGCACGGGGAACACGTCAATTCCCGTGCGCATCTCCTCGCCGCGCATGAGGAACACGTTTAGCGCACCGGCGGACGCTACGGCTGCAAAGGGCACGAGCCGCCCGAGAATGAGCTTCGTCGACGGCGAAAATCCCTTCAGACGGGGGATGATCGAATTCAGACCTACTGCCACGGAACAAGATGCGCCGACGGCAAGGAAGTACGATTGGACGATTTTCGAGTAAGAGAGCGGGTTTGATTTGTTCGCGTTCGCGTGGTTGATGGCAACATTAAGAGACTGATTGGTGATTTGCCAGAGAACAGTCCCGGTGTTCTATTATTGCGCTTTAGGTAAGTATATCTTCAAGCTGCTTCCGCTCAGGTCGTAGTACAGGATGGTGCGCGTACCTTTAAACCCGGCGTAAGCATTCCAGCCGTAACGATCAAATTCGAGAACACGAAGCAGGACATTCGGAAGGGGAGGAGGACTGGCTCTCCGGTTTCTAGGGAGCCCGATTAGCCCAGCAGTTCGAAACTACGGAACACGTCAAGTTCATCATGCTATCGTACCAGGATGCAGTGTAGAGTCGACGATCTTCTTCGCCTTCCATAATTCCGGCGTCATATCCTTGATCTCGCCTTGCTTATATGCGACCAACAGCTTTTTGGCTTGTTCAAGACCATGGTTTCCAACGAAGAGGGTTCTATAACGAAAGGATACACGTCAGAGAAACAGTCACTGGTAAAAGATTGGAAGCTAGCAATACCTTGGATCTGTAATCGTTGCCGTCTGTTTAACACGGCCCCAATACGTGCTTAAGTCATATTGCGACTCGGGCAGCTCCCGACTGCCAGGCAAAGAAGCCGACATAGTGAAAGTTGCGAATTATGCGATTTATGCGATTCCTTCGCTCAGTTACGCGCGACCAATTGCCAAAGTCCAAAGTTGAAAGGAGCGGACAGCTGGTCCTACAAGCTTAGCCGACGTAAGAAGGCTGCCGGCATAAACAGGTAGTACCCGCCAACGGAACGTATGCGAGGGGTGAAAGTGGGAGTGGGAGTGGGAGTGGGAGTGGAAGCACTTATCCTCCGTTATTGTTTGTACCCTTTGTAAGTCGGTCCCGGCGATGAAAAGCCTTAGCTCACGGCTTCAGCCGGCATTCTTTACAGGAAGGCATGATTCTCACGAGTCACAAAGCAATTTTTTAGTGGGCCGATCTCGGCCATCGTATCTTTTCAAGTAGGTACGTACAGGTAGATAACAGGGCAACGCGGGGCACTTAAACGAGATCCAGAGAAATGAAGCATCTACCTACATACCTCCCAGGTAATGAGAAAAACATAGGATATTCCACAGTATTATATAGGATATAAAATCAAAAATCTACATGAATAGAATATATAACGTATCAAGGTGCAATTATATATACTCCAAGACCAAAGGTAAGAAAAATACAAAAAAATCAAATCCCAGAGTGGTCTCTGGTTTGAAGAGATGGCTTGAAAATTCGAGCACAGCAGGGATCGAACCTGCAATCTTCAGAGGTCGTCGTAGAACCGAAATCTGACGCCTTACCATTAGGCCATGCGCCCCGTTGAAGACCGAGCAAGAAATATAGCTTTATATTTCAAGTGGTATTTTACAGAAAATTCATCCGATCATCCAATCATTTCACGGACGTACCTACACTATGTATGTGGAGACCTACTTAGCGTTAACTAATGGATTCAACAACTTCCTAGGAAGTCGACTGGCAACATTATTACGTAAGGTCTTTCACCTTTTCATAGCGGCATCATATTCGAAAAATCAGGGATTTGCTTTTATTTTCACATTGCTCCTATGCGTATCATCCCATCTTTAAAATGTCTTAAATTTGTACACCTGCTACTTTCACGACGAGATGTAGTTTATCCTAAAACAAGCCTTTTGTAACATTACGTTTGATCTTCTTACCGGCTACTTCTCACCAAACCACATAATACGAAGTGAGCATCAATGCTTAAATACCCGAGGGTCATATCTCCAATAGAGGTATACATTAAGTATGGTGACTACTATCTAAAACACATGCTTTTAAATATCTCGTTATTCGCGTGAGCCATCCGTGCTATGATACTCTCAAGTATCATCCTCTACAGCTTCTTCGACTGCTTCCAGTCGTCAAAGTCCCTAAGCCACTTCTTCACCGTCTTGATCTCCCACTTATGCGCCTCTCGGATGAACTGCGGCTCGGCTTCTACATCCAGGATGCCGTACGAGTCCCAGTGGTGACCCGCCCCGGTGATGAGTAGCTCCGGGTGTAGGTCAGACGACGTACGCGCGGGCGCGAAGTTGGAGTGGTAGCACAGGTCGTTCCACACATCCTGGTCCCCGTCGATGAATGCCAGCCGGTCGGCTGCGAAGTTGAATGCGCCGAAGTCGTTGTATGCATCCACGTCGGGAGTGGAGGGGATTGAGTTGTATTTCCCCGGCGCAAATGCCCAGCGGCACCACTGTTGCTCGTAGTCGGTATCTACCACTCGAGACAATAAAGCCGGTCCCTCTTTTGGTGCTGCGATATATGCACCCTTGGTTTGTTAGCTTCTGGTTCGCGCTTGGGGATCAAGTGGTATATAGCGGTATCCTCACCTGCTCTATACAGCTTGTATAAAGATACGAGCGTGTAGAAGTGTTTTCTATACTAGCCCATGCTGATGCATTTTGAGTTCCCTATAACGAGAATTAGTTACGAATGGGTTGATATTCTGGGTGGCCAGCGTGCAGGAGGGGATGAAATAGTTACTCACCCAGCAATCGTTGCTATTATAGTCCCCCGAAGGACACAGTGGGAGGGTATGACGCTTCACGTAATTGGCATAACTACCAAGACCACTATAAGAAGTGTATTAGCCACTAACACGATGTACGGGAAATAAAGGTATGGTTTTTCCAATTCCGAAACGGAACAGAGTGGATAACTCGATAGAAATTGACCTGTAGGGAGTCTTACGTCCAGGGTTCACCATTGGTGTAGTTCGCCAACACATTGTCCAGTTGGGTGATCTCTTCCGGGGCATCTATATCAGAAACATTGCCGCAGAAGTAGAAAAAGTCCCTCGGTCCGTAAGTGGAATTCCAATTCAACTCCTGCCACGTATTTGAGTGGTAGAATCCAGGATTTCCTATAGGGTCCTATATATATGAGTTAGTAGCTAGTCGAAGTTGGGGATGGAAGTCCCATGCTCAGGACTGAGTTTTCTTGGTTACGAGGTAAAAGAAGGGAACTCACTGCAATAGCTGCTGCAAAGTCTCGGTGGTCCGTTAGAGATTCGAGACCGAAGAGAGCCTTGAACTGCTTGATTGCTTTGGTGTGGTTCTTGGCCACAAGGAGGTCGAAATTGTCCACGATCTTATTGATTCGTGTCACACAATCCTGAGGAGCGTATTTCTGGATGGGTTTGTACCATTCAGGATAGCCCACACTCACCTTAATCGGAGCTGAAGCGGCAATTCCACCGTAGAGGATGTCTCCGTACACCTTAATCGATGCAGCCGTCTGCGCTCCTGCCAAGCTACCGCCGTACACTATCCATGGCGTGTTAGGTGCAGTGAGGCTTCCATTAACACCGGGGAACACAGCATTCTGAGCAAAGTGGGCGTTGTCAGCTATGGTTTGGTTTGTAGTGAGGAAGAGTAGCTCATCCGTGGTGCTGGTCTTGAAGGGGTAAGAAGCTCCATAGTAACGGTTCTCAAGAATGACACCTTCAAAACTCGTTAGTACTGGTTCTATTCTCGTCTGCATCATAAGTTATCTCTGTTCTTCTATACGAGACGTACCTAAGCCATTTGTAGCTTGCATCAAAATTTGAATAATTCCAGTCTGTAGATTTGAGAATCTACTCGGACCGCTGGTCTCTCCCGAGATGTACAAGTAGACAGGCCCGCCTGTAAAGAGGTTAACATTGCTATATCAAGCATAGGACATCATGTAAACTAACCAGGCTTATAGTAAGAGCTGTCAAAGTAATATCGCTGCTTGAAGGTGCCATGGCTCAGATTGGACTTGGAGAACAGCTCATTGTCGGGGAAGTGGTTGATCTTCTGATCGAAGTAGTGGACACCATATTGAAGCTTATCCCGAGGCGCTTCACGCTTTATTTGCATTGCTCCGGCATCCCGAGACAGGGCGGCCAAGAGGCCAATCGACAACCAATTCAGCTTCATGTCCCTGGCTAAAAGACTATGCGATACCAGGAAAACGGATAGCAGAGTGCCAAGGTTGGGAATTATATGCTATGGAGATCCGGATCGACGGGAGCTGAGGGCTTAACCAAGTACACTCACTAACCTAACCGGTTAGATATCATCTTCTAGCACGTCAGCTTGCGTGCGCTACCTAGTCGAGTTCGTCAAATACGATAAGAAGTAACGCAAACAATTCCTTGGTTAGGAAAGTTGCACGACGTCGCATTGCATGCTGACTAGATACTATCCCGGTTTATTAGTGGAGGTGCCTGGCTGCTTACAGGTAGATAGTTGACTCGCATGTAACTTCAAAACGCGGTCAGATCCTAGTGGTCATCACTTATAAAGAAGCGTCACGATTAGAACCTATGATTATGAAAACGAATTATGTCACTGCGTAAAGAGCTATGAACCTATCCGCCTAACCCCTCTTTGTCTACAATGTCTTATAATCCCATTCTATTAAAAGTGTATATGTATGGTCGTGCCGTATTAACCGGCGTAGTGTGGACACGCATAAACATACGGATCGAGGCTAAAGAGTATATACGTACTACTGAAAGGTAGTGAGTGGCAAACACGGACGGTAGTGCGGCTGGAATCGTCTCGGCGAATATTGTAGAATTTGAAGACTGTTGTACTTGATCTCGGAATTTTAAATGGACAAATCTAGCACACCCAAAGATTCCTCAAGAAAATATAGTTATATAATCCAAGTTTTCGCTTTCACCTGTTGTTAGAGATATATACTATGATTTACTCCTCTACATATAACATGCTCTAGCCTGGAGGCTGCGCGCATATTCCTCGGTGTACTAGTATATTTGCTGAGGTCAATACACATAGTATGTTTATTATCCTTCATTACTGTCTTAATCGTAAGATATTCTACGGATACTCTACTAAGTTAGGTAAGTAATAGAGATGTAATGTAATACACGCCTCGAAGAAAAGAAAAAGGCCCCGCGGTGAAGGTGAATGTACGAGTGTTTTTACGACGTAAAATAGACCAACAAGCTATTTAGAAACTTATTAGCCCGATATTTCAACCATCACTAAAACAAGAAACTATATTATCATCGTCATTTTAGGTACATGAGATAGAAGTTCTTATTATAAGAACATGTCACAATGAAACTCAATTAGTCATTCTATAACAGAGCCAAGAATAGAAGATATGTGCCTTAGATATGCATTTATTCATATCGGTTCAGCCCTATCCATCTCGCAGCGCGCCGATGTTACGCTACGCTGCATAAGTGAAGACCACGTCTAGTGTATTTATTAAAGGGAATATGCCGAGGGTTTTCCCATTGCGGCGCAGGACTTCAGCTTATTCTAATTTCTAACTAATACATTCAACCGCTTCTTCTTCTTATTATAATACCTACGCCCTTTCTGACTGTTCACTGGTAATACCTAGGTAGTTTGTCCGTCTAGGGCGCCAGTACGGACTGAGACGCTTGCCCGGCGCAAGCGCAAATGCTACTTCTACGTAGATCCGCGCCACGCCGGCCTTGGTCAGGACAAGGCACATTGACCGTCGTCGCCGCCTGTCATTTGCGAATATGACAGCCCCATCTGTACCTCGCATACGAGCTCGCAAGCCCAAAGTCCGCTCCGGTAGGTCCCGTCTTATAAGTCTAGTTTGATTATCTTGTCTATCATGAAGACCTGCTTCGTTAACGTGGGCTGAAGGCTGCGCTACGTGCAAATCGCGAAGGGTTAAATGCGATGAAGGCCGGCCGGCCTGTGCTCGCTGCCAGAAAGCTCGGCTGCCTTGCAAATACAACGCTCCTGAGCCGCAACACGGCCAAAGCAGGACTCAAGATGGTGTGTTACCGGTATCTAATAGCGGCGACGCTGGTTCGCAGTTGGCGCCAGGGATGCGTTTACATGATTTTGAAGGACACGAGGTCTTCTACTTCGACTTATTCCGCAACGTCGTCGTGTGCAATCTCTCTCTGAACGGGTATAAGAACTTCTGGACTCGGACTGTACTTCGCGAGAGCCTCAGAGATGAATGCGTACGGGATTGCGTCCTGGGTACCGGTGCGCTGTGCCGCGCAATGATGGACCAGATTCATCGTCTGAAGCAGCCGGGGGCGAAGTCTCTTTGGATGGTCCCGACAGATTCTCTTAACCCTACTAATGCTAGATATCACAGAGACGCGCTCCAGTTTTATACCAAGGCCATCTCAAAGTTTCGAAGGCGGATGCTGCTCGAAAGCTCGTCTATTACGCCACGAACAATCCTGATTGTCAGCATTTTGTTCGTCGTGTTCGAGGCGATGCAGGGCGACACGGATACCATCGACCGGCTTATACACTCTGCCATACTCGCCTTGGAGAGTTCCATGTCAGGTAGTATGACGTTTGGTTCTCGGTTACCGCCGACTCTGGACGACGAGGGCGTCCGCGAAGCAGATTATTTCCTCGCGCGCCTGTCTGGATTCAACTCTTTGCTATCCCCATTTTATCCCGCCATCCTGAGAAACAAAGCGTATCGAAGAACTTGGTTGTGCAAAGACGCTATTCCTAGCAGCGACCAGAGCACGCAGCAGATAGAGCATACCTTCGAAAGGTACACGACATACATGTTATTCTGGTACTTTCGCACAGCCCAAACCAAACTTTTCAATATCCCGATGGATTTAATGAAATTCCAGGAGGAACAGGCGCTTGCTATAGATCAAACAAAAATTTGGTGCGAATTTTTAGAAAGCAAAGTAGACCAGGAGAAGGATCCCGTCCAGTGCTGGAGTTGGAATATTATGCTAGTAGAGGCGAAGATGTTTACCGTCCACGTTCGTTACCGCCACGACCCAGAAGAATTCGAGGCTATGTGGGATTCGCAACTCCCCATCTGCCGCGAAGTCATCACACTCGCCGAGTCGGTGTTACAAGAAGAGAATCCGCTTACTGGTGCTCTGCCGCCCCTTTTCGAAGACAAACTGCAACCGATACTGCGTTCCCTAACATGCAAATGCCGCAACTACGACGTTCGGTCGAGGGCGCTAGCTCTCTGCCAGAAGATATCTGGGCCCTGGTTTGAGAACAAGGCGATGGTTGTCGGCATGAAGATCCTCGTCGAGTTGGAAGAACGGGAAAGAGACGCTTCTGGGTCGATCCCCTACCGGTCAAGATTAAGATGGACTATATCATCGTGGAACGACGACCGGACAGAACTGCGGATGGTGCTCACGGGAGTTATTACGGGCCATCGTAAGGAATTAACGATTCGCAAAGACGAAAGTATCGATGACATGATTGAGAATATATCTAAGCTATCTGTCTAGTTGTCCGAGGTGTGAGCAGTTACAAAAAACACAAAGACCTAGGAACACCACAGGCTACTCGACCAAGTCAGATATATAGTAAGAAAGAGATAATGAAGACTCAATACCTAAGATCAAACACGTACATAAACACTATCAAAGCTCATAACTAATAGCTAGGTATCTAAAATAAGATTCTAAGCACAACAGAGAACATTGTTCTACATGGCAAAACAACGCAGTGGACGACCAAGGAAAATACTAGCAGTGACTTACCCCTGATAGGATATCCGCAGCCCCTAGCAATAGACAGCCTGCATGCACAGGATCATATTCGAATACCACCTCTCATTCAAGCCGAATCCCACCATCTTACCGTTCTTCTTAGCCTTAGCATAGGCTTCATTAACCGCGCGCTCCATCTCGGCAATCTTACTCCTCATTTCCTCGACCCGTCTCCGCTCCTCTGCCGCCGCCACCGCAGCCGCCGCCGCCGCCTCCGCAACTTTCTTAAAAGCCTTTTTCGTCTCGGCCTTCGCCCTGACCTCCTTGGCCTCCTCCAGCCTGGCCCTCCTCCTGCGAATCATCACCGAGAAGTAGAACTCATCGCGGGTTCGCGGGCTCGGCGGCACCTCGTCTCCCGTCTGGATGTCGTGGGCGACGCTGTCGAACGTGACTCTACTGGGGGATGGTAGCTTGACGTCGACCGATAGCGTCTTTAAGACACCCTTAGGACGAGGCTTGGGGGAGGTAGGATGATCCATGGTTTCTTACTAAAGGCTTCAAAGTATCTATCTTCAAGTTATGATTTAATTTTTATAAATCTTGATGTTATGTTTTGATAAGTGCTGGTTTTTACGCCTATCACATAGAGACCGTATCCTTGGCTAAATACCTATCCTGCAAAACATTCCAATAATAACTTGTTATGCCGTTATAGTAGTTTGTTAATGCTGTTTCCTCGTCACGACTATCGTAGACAAAGAGTAGTATCAAAATCACAATGCCTTGTTCCTAGTCTTAGTTATTTCACCCCTCAAACAAGGGACTGCCAACTCCTTTGTTCACCAAACACTGCAGACAGAGACAACGCTCTTGATGTTGTAATATCTTTTCTAGACTCATGTAGCGTCGTGCTAGACACGACGTGAATTAATGGGGGGATTTTACATTAGATGACTTTCATACTTAATTTTTAATAATAGATACATTGCGGGCTTTTGTAACGCACGCCAATGTTGTTGCTATGTACAGAAGCCCAGATACCAACTCGTTCTACATACAGTCTCTTGCCCACCGGTTTCCACGAAGCCCCCCTTAGTTTTGAGACTGCAGAATACTAAGTATCAACACTTTTCCGCTGTTAGCGATGCAACAAAACACATCAGTCCTCGTAGAAGCAAGGCAGAAGAGAAACTACAAAAGTACAAGGCTCCACAGGAACATACTAAGCAAGCGTATGTCCGTTCTAAGCTGGGTCGACTCTATAGAAAATGGAAATAGAGGTGACAATTGCTGTCGGAATGAAAAGAGTCGTTAGACTGTGTGAATCTGAGGGTACAAAAGGAAATGCAGAGAATGCGTCTTATTGGCACAACGATGAAAAGAGGTTCGGGTATCTGTCGTAATCAAGGAAATTTTCGCAATTCGGAAGTAGGCCACTCGGGATAATAGAAAGACCTCGAAGAGTTTATTGTCTGAAGGAGCTGTGGCTTTGGTGCGCGTCTTGGAGAGCTATATATGATATCAGTAAAAAAGCTAGCTAGAAGTGAGAGTAGATTGAATAGAGCTTGCGTCACTTACCATGTAATATATTTAACTGACCGGCTCGGTCTTCGCAGGCAATCTGCAAACAGGAGCCTTCCATAAGATCTAAGACAACGCTGTTGGGGAGTTCCTGGATCTCGACATCAGGGATGTAGGGCGCACGGAAATCGCTCAAGTGATAACGCTTAGCACCAGCAGCGACAGCCTTGTCCTTTCCACCCGTTGCAGCGCCTTGGATAGCACTCAAGAATAAGAATCCTTGAGTGTCTAGAGACATGCTGCGGCGCTTCCATAGCAAGTTGTCCGGAAATTGCACATTCACATCTCCCATATACGCTACAACTGCTGGTTGAGAAGACAGGGAGACATTAGTCGTAGGAGCGACAAGCTGATCCGCATCTTCCTCGGCGACAGTAGGAGAAATGTGCGGGCTGGTAACTTTCCTGTTTCCATTAAGAGAGTTCGACAAGCGCCTCATGAATCGAGACGCTCGTGTCTCGGACTTTTTATCACTCTTCTTGTCATCATCTCCAGAACCACTGTCGCTTAGGACGGCGGGCGACCCGATAGGCGTCGACGTTGAATTCTCCCGCTCACGACTGAAAGATGAACGATGGCTTGAAATTGACAAACGTCGCGCGAAACCGCCACTGCTCTGATGGGCTGACGGTGGCCTATTTGGAGACTTTGATCCGTTCGGAGACATTATCGCTAAGTTATCAGTCGATTTGCTAGCAGTTGATGTTCGGCGGTCTTTGATAAAATCCTTGACTACGCTCAAAGAAGAGCGCCGATGCTTCTTCTCACCATCATCAGAGGTTGACTTTTTATCACGTCTCTCTTGAATTGTCTCCTTAGACACCTGTGCTAATGGGGTTGGCACTGGCTCAGGAACAGGCTGAGATAATTCCGGTCTTTGTAGATCTACAATGAGTGGTGACTGCTTTAATTCAAGCTGGGGATAGTCGCTGGGGCTCGCATTTACTTCAGGTTTCCCCGGTAGATTTTGACTAGGATCGCGGACGATTCTTGCAGTAACTTGGATCGATTCAGGCCGCCCACGAGGTGAATTCTGCGTTGGTATTTCAAACATAGACAATCGACTAGCCACCGAGCGAGACCTCTCACGCCTCTCTGCGCCGGAAAGTTTAGGTGGTCTTTCTTGAGATTGTTCAGCTGTGGGAATATGCTGCTCCGGAGAACCGTCATGATCCACCACAGAAGGGGATCTCGACGGTTCTCTGATACTCTGCCTACGAACACTGAAGAAAGCCGAAGATGGTGCTGCGGTTTTAGGACGGACTTCTTCTGGGCCACCAGGGCCTGAAAGCTTCTCTAAGGCTTTGATTCTCTGCGAAATGCTCGAGCCGAGATTGTTCTTCTTAGCTTGCAAACCAGCATTCGACGACTGTCGGGTGATATTGTGTAGTAGAGCCGCACCACCCGCCGATACACTTCTAGCGCTGCTCTGTGATACATCACTAGGTGCCAGGAGAGGCCCACGCATCGGATTTGAAACTGCACGTGATAGTGGCGGTCCTGGCTTGACGGAACTAGAATTGGGGAAAACGGGAGTAATGGGCGACTTGGACACGAGCATAGGTTTAGCTTCCTGTAACGTTGCTGACTGTAGCTCCTCCATCAAAGCATCGTCGAGAAGAGGATCGGAGGTTTCAGAGTGAGGCGTGGTCTTCGTAAAGTCGGTTCGAATAGTTCCGACGACAGTCATGCGCTTAGCTGATTTCGGGGGAAGCGTAATCTCTGAGGCAGCCTTTGGGAATGATTCGCCTCCGGTCTGCTCACGGTATTCTACGGATGTGTTCGGTAGAGAGGGAACGGGCTCTGCGGGAAGAGAAATATCTGGTATAGAGAATTTTGATCTTAGGCGGGGAGTTGTTGGTGATCTCTGTTCAGCTGGGGTTTGCGGCTCGTTGGAAGAGAATTTCGAAACAGGCAATCTCAAAGGTGATTTGGGCGTGTCCTCTTCGCTCGGGGGTTTCTCGTTACCCTTTGAGTTGGGCGGCGAGATGATATCAGTACGACCATCCGCCTTGACTGAACTGGGGATCGAATGCCCTGTTGTTTGTGTAGGATGGTCTGGACTCTCTTGAGATTTCTGACTTATTTCAGTATTTTTTGCGTCTAAAACATCCGTGTTTGTCTCAGTCTGTTCTAGCCTGTCTCCCATTCCTGGAAGGTCTCTAGGCGCAACCTCCTCAGCCTCTTTCCTTATGTCTTTCGAGGCCTGGACAGTTTCGTCAGTCGACTCAGATAGGGAGGATGCTTTCGTGGATGCCCCTATTTCAGATGATGTTGCACCCGTCGGAGAATTTGGGCGGGAGTCGGATGTATCCTCGGTATTGATCGTCATCGGGGTGGGTGGGTCAATGGCAATACCAGAATCTGCGTTGGATACGGCACGGTGACCAGTGTCGCTCTTGATTCGTAGAGAATCTTTAGATTCAGTATCACATCCTTCTTTCTCCTCGCCTGGAGGTGGATTATCTAACGGTGCTGTCTGCTCTGACGTTGTAGTACTCATCATCTTTTTCTTTTCCCTCAGCTTCATGGCCTTCATAAGTCGTGCTTTCTCAGGTGTGATTTTCACCTCCTTTGTTGGTGGGGGCGCTAGCGATTGAGTGGCTGATTTAATAGAAGCTCCCGAGCTCGTTGCGGGTCGCGAGGGCAGTTGAAGGCCAGTGCCTTGTGGAACCTCAGGGATAGGTTTAGATGATGCGAGGGCGGTATCCAAAGCAACCCCCTCAGCTTCTTCAGTCTTCTCGACCTGTTCCATATCTTGAGATTGCCCCTTCTTAGTCCCCTTGGAGAATAGCTTAAATCCTGCCGGCAAGGCTGCAGTGGGGCGAAAGTTTTCCGTCGTCGAAGGTCTTTTGTTTGTATCTAGGGATGGTCGGGGGCCGAGCTTCACTTTTGGTTTACCATAAGCGTATGTCGCGTAGCCGTATAAATCAGCGCGCGTGGATTGGGAGGATAGACGTGGAGCACTTTCGGACTGTGTAGGGGATGTCGGTCTGTCAGCTCCTGTAAATTCTGGGACGTTGGCTGTTGAGGCAAAGCTGGTTTCTTGCGGGGCGGAGATCTGTTGACTATCGAGTACGGTAGGGCGTTCTATAGGCGGTGAGTGAGCGGGTACCGAGTACACAGATGATGCGCGTTTATCTTCCTCCTTAACCGTGGACTGCCTTTTCCTCTCCCTTTCTTCTTCTTCCTCTTCCTCAGCAATCTCATTCAGTCTCCGCCGTCGTAATGAACTCGAGGACGAGGATGCCGATCCGGAAGCAGTATGCAGCGAACAAGCTGCAGAAAGCTTACTATCTTTCAGATCTTTGGCTACCGAAATTTCGAAAGTGATATCGTACGGCGCAAACCGCTCACAGACAGCATTGAAATGCACTGCTGCACGAGCTATACATGACAAATTCAAATCGAATTAGCAATTTATCCTGCTTACTCTTCTATTCCTAGAGCTGGATTGCAAATGACTAGACAGTAGGTGCATAATATGATTAGCTGAATAGCTCACCTTGGATAAGTCTCGAGCAATCCTCAGGTTGGTATTTTAATAAGACAATCCTCCGCCTATACTTAAGGAAGCCGTACAATGGCGATGCCTCTTCGTATTTTGCGATTGCACCACGAACATCAACGATGCCGCCACTCCCACGGTCAAGAAGCTCAATTTCGTCACGATTGGCGTATTTGAGAAGGAACCTGTGTTAGTTGGACCAGACTTAGGTCAGCGGCGCAAACTCAGACGAACGATTTGGGACGGGAAATAAAAGACAACATTGTGGTAAGAACAGCGACGTAGATCACGACACATTTACCACATGAGGAATATTTTGGCTCGAGAAAAAAAATTTCATACCATCCGCCAGGTTCGGTGGTAGCGACTTCGTGGGCTTCTATAACCTTGGCATCGTCCAGTCCATTCAACGACATTCTTCTTAGAAGATGCCGTCCAATGCGACAGCTAATCTAGTAGGATTCGGTGTTACGCTGGAAATTTTGTCGACTTGTATTTTTTTTTATATGCGATTCGAGATCCTACCGGCCTACAATCAACTTATCGGCAGGCGAGATACAGGAAGGATCGGATGGTTATCCGGAACCAGAACCAGGGCCAATTCAAAGGACCGGCAATCTGGTTCGACATTGAGACAACACTATTCGAAGGTGATAAAGTATTTACAGAGATGTCACCATAAAGATGGTGTCGACGACAAGGCGCATAACATAAATCGAATTTCTGTACACAGATGAAGAAGAGTTGAAGCGGCCGAAACGAAAATTGGCGGGATAGCGGTATGGGGTTCGACCAGGGGGCGGGAAATTTCGATAGGGGCTTGAAGGATAGTAATATCGTTCGTACCTAGCTAACTACACATGCTATGTAGGTAGATAGACCAGGGATCAGGGGGTGGTGCCCGGTGCGGAAGCCCGAGCGCTAGTAAGACATCTACAGCTCAGATAATCTTCTGCAGCTATGGTATGTAGGACAGAAGACACTATTAACGACGATAGAAGCGAAAATTGGTGAATATAGGAAAAGGGTGAGTGATCCGTGGCGAGGAATGATCTAAGGAAACTGCCGAAGATGCTTTCACCGAAGTTCGTACAAACGTAAGGTCCTTTAATGTACTTTGTAAGATGATATTAATAAAGAATTAACGAGCGACGATGGTAGTAAGACAGAAGACAAACAGCTACCTTCTATCTTTCTACCTCTAGCAATGTGTATGTAGAAAGAGACAGGATACGGTGAAAATGTGGTGAAAATGTGGTGGTAAGCTTAGACATGAGCCAATGATAGCTGATCGGTTGAAGAAAGGGGGAACATCGGAAGTGCACTTGGGATTTCACACTTGTTTTGTGGAGGTACTTACCTAACAGGAGATTACCCTACCCAGACTGCCTGATTGGGTACCTACTCAGGAAAGTGCGTACGGAATACACGTATTAAGTAATCGGGACTTCATACACAGGTACATAATGAAGTACATGCATATACAGGGAAGAAATACCTAAACCGTCTTCTACAATTCAGTTTCCATTCCAAGGTCCAAGGTCGAATCCCGTATCTTAAACATTCGGGCTTTCCATTGAAAAGCCTTACACTAGAAAAAACTTACAATGTGACAATATACCTATTGCTAAGCTGATCTTGGTAGAGGAATAATTTAGAAGGTTCAAATCTCGGCCAACACTAGCCTAAATCTGTAACAACGGAGAAGCGCTAATCTCGACCACCTTGCATTAGTAGATTGTGCCTGTTGCACATATGTATGTACGTGCATATGTACATAATATCAGGTTAGAGCGATGAGCAGCTTCGAGCCCCGCACGCAATCTTCAAGGTTCAACGTTCCAGCATTGAGACATCTACGATACAAGCCAATCAGCTTGCGCGATGCAAACGGATATAGTTTACACAGTATGTTACCATTAATACGGTACAGTATCCTCTTTCAGGGGCACAACGTGGAGGGCCGTCTCTCGCTTTTATTGATCCCCTATTTAGTATTCTACTCGACTTTTCGGAAAAGGCGCCAAGATTTTGTTCGGCCATCTCCTTTTCATTGCCGGTAGGTGAAAAAGATCTTCAGTTCCTAAATTATCTTGAATACGCGGGAATCTATGAGGATACCCGTTAAGCACAGAGATACTATCGTATATTAGTATTCGAGCTTCACGTGTCCGTAAATAACTTCGAACTACTTCTACTACTAAGGGCTTAGGTTCAGTTCTAGAGATACATGTAGGTACCTAATATACCGCGTCCTAAGTTCATAAGACATATTATAGGGTAACATCGTCGCGACCTAGGACAACCCGTGTCATTGCCTACTTCATAAATGTTCGTCTCGACGGATGAGATAACTGGCATATCACATTCGGACGGCCGAAAACTTTCGTGTGCCCACATCCTATCAACCAAAAACCTGCCCGAAGGAACCATAAACCGAACTTGTCAAGACGTCGTGTCCCATGTTAAATGAGAGGATTGACTAGTTAAGCAAGTAGAACTTACTTAAACGAGTATATGAAGTACCACCGAGTATGACGGTGTGGCTGTATGCTGATAGGATATGCGTATATGTAGAATTAATATCAACTGTCAGCATTGTTCTACATATCCCATAATCCCGACCATACATGAGACGTAAGAACCTTAAGTCGTTTCCAGCCGAAAGACTGGCTTAGAGACGCCGAGAGAGTTTCCTCGTACCTAGCAAGACCTTATTTACTACCGCCTACAGCTTGCCTAGGTATCTTTAGGAGTTGCTAGTTGTATCTCGCGGTCTTCTCAGGAAACCGGATTCTCTAACCTACGGAGAATCTTCCTGTTAAGAACAAATGTCTAATCTAGTCTTGATTTACGCTAGCAGTGGAGAGAAGTCTAGAACAGCTTTTTTTCTAAACCTCTTTTATCTAGTCGGGTGCTAACGCATACTTGCAATAGACTTTAGGGCTGACAACCTACTCGGGACAGGTAAGTCAAACATTTGCTCGTCTGAGACGAAAAAAGGTTGTTCGCCAAAGACGCTAAGGAGGGAAGGTCGAAGCTGAGATATGGTTTCAATGTTGATAGAAGAATGGCAAAAAGTCCGAACTTAACACTGAGGATAGACAATTGACCCGAATTGCCTCTTAAGGTTCTTACCCCCTAGTCTGGTCTTCCCATGGGTGAGGATATAAGCTTTCATATTGCCAAAATGTTCATTGATTGCTGTGACCATCACCTGTAACGTACACCTTTTCATAAGTCCATGCTAAGCTAAATCATCATCGCCGGTAGGCTTTACGGCCCACTTGCTATCTTCGTCTTCCGAAATGGTCGGGTCTTCGTTTACTCCATAAAGATGTCTCCCTAATACAAATATGAAATGGCCAACGGAACCAACCATCTTCATGGGCTATCAGCTTGACTAAGGTAGTTTCGTGGTCATATACTGACCAAGGTTCACCTGAAATATGTACATCATGCCAAAAACGTTAGGCATACCCCCTGCTGCCTTATGAATAACGAAAACCTTAGTGTATCGCGAGAGTCGAGCTTGGCAGCAACTTTCGGAAGCGGAATGTAAAACAGGTCTGTAATTGTTGGTGAAAAGATCCCAAGAAGAGTACACTACTCCCATTATAAAAGAACCGGAATTAGGATTTCGACAGCGGGCCAGTCGTATTCGGAGATGTCGAATCCGGAGTCGCGAGACCGCCTGGGTTCGGGATTGCGTCTGCAGTGATCTCCGGTGCGTCGCTATCTTCTATCGACGAAGGCTCCTCCTCGACCGGCCCTTCAATGATGGTCGGTCTGAAAGCATCTCCGTCGTCGATGGGTATAAGATCATGTCCTCGACCACTGTTACTAGCTGATACGCCAACGGCTGGTGAATCGCCTTCAGCAATCTTCTGCTTAGTAGAGATCACAATCTTATCGGCTTCGCTTATCTTGCCTCCCGCACCAGAGCTATCTCCTTCCACACCGATGGGATTCTCCTTGTTATTTTGATTCTCTAGCAGGGCAGCCTTGTCGAATCGAACGATCATGCATGACAAGTTGTCTGTGCTGAAGCGAGCCAGGGCATGGTCAACAAGCTTCTTAGCCGCAGCCGCCGGGTCTCGTTCGTCGCGAACGAGGTTAACAGCATCTTGGTCTTCGCAAACGTCCCAGAGCTAGGCACTTATTAGCAACGGTCTGAAAAGAAAAAAACGTATATCTAATGAACTTACACCGTCGCAAGCAATGATGATAAACTCGTCTATTTCGGGCTGGATAACGGTCTCGGTAGTGTATGGATGACCTGTTACAAGGTCTTTCATGTATGTATCTCCAAGAGCTCGAGTGACGGCCAATACACCATTTACGCGGTTATTGAGGATCAAGCCTCCAGCATTCGAGATCCGCTTTCCTTCGTTCTCGTCGCTACCCTTGTGGTCATACGAAAGACGTAATGCTTTACCAGCTCTACATAGAATGATCCTAGCATCACCCACATTTGCCGTGTATAGAACGCGCTGCCGAACCGCAGTACCCTTCAGCCTTGCATGAGCTGATTCGGCGATAGCATTGTTACCATTGTCATTCTCAAGCTTCGCATCCCGAGGTTTTAACGTATCCGGCGTCTTTGAAGCAGCAGCAGCCGCCGGGGCGATGGCTTGAGAACCGGTCGCAGAGATTGAGCTAGGAACCCGGTCCTCCCAACGCAAGACAGCAATTGCTGCGGTACAGCCACTGTTCTTAAGAGGAAGCTTCTCGAGCTGTGCATCAACATTGGTGAAGGTCTGATCAAGAAGTTCGGGAATAGGCACGTTGGGATTTCGTCGTATGGTGTCTTCGAGAATAAGATGCAGCTTCTTTCCACACCAGTCTGCGGCGAAGGTACCAGCGTGTCCATCAAATATTGCAAAGTAGCCGTTGTCAGTTTCTACTATGTCCTGCACGCTCGTCTCAGGCTGGTTAGAATCCTCTGATGTAGACCTTTGGGACTTTTGGCTCTTGTTACCCGGATCCGGGGCGATGAGGGGTGCGGGAGTATGCAGGAAATTGTAGAGGAACGCATGCGTGTCTTCCATTGTACGGCGGCATTTTTTGTTCCTGTCTTCCCAGACACCGACGCGGAAGGTAGATCGTGGACCAGGAAGGGATTCGCCAGCAGAGTTATTGTGCTGGCCTTGAGGTACCGCAAGAGATTGATCTTGCTTGCCTAATTTCTGTAGAGGAGTCTGGGAGCTAGCATCACTATTTGTCCTGCCAGCCTGGCCGAAATTCAAGCTATTCCTGGCGCTGGCTATAAGACTGCTGGCTTTGCTCCCGACGCCAGAACTCCTTCGCTTTTTTTCCGAATTACCCGTATCGGGATTATGTCGCCCGGGCGGGCTACTATTTCCACTACGCTTCTCGCCGCTGGTTGCTTGATCAGGAGATTTTGACGGAGTCACACCCGAAGCAGACTCGTGCTTTCGGTCCGGAGACGGGGATTTCTTCTCCGACTTCGTAGAGTCGGCTACAATAGTATCGGATTTGGCCGCAGCAGAACTAGAGCCGCCGCCAAACATTCTATTAAGCAGACCTCCCTGCGAAGAGAGACTGCGTCGCTTGTTCCCTGCCAGATTTTCGGGAGTTGAAGTCGTCGATTGTGGAAGGGGGATATGAGGTCAATATATAGGATGCGCCTAGGTCGTTAAGCGATGCGGAGAAATGCGCAGATCTTTTGGTCTTTGGTACGGCGATAGGAGGTGCGGTAGGCGGGGGGGAAGATTGCACAACGGCTTATGTAGATTGGCGTCAAAGAATTGGGCGCACAAGATACTTGAGTCTGTATAGAGCTGTCGTCATATATGAGGCGCTTGGCTAAAGTCTTGTGACGGTGGGACGCTAAGAGACACTAGGTTAGAACAACTGTGGTCATGATATGTAGTACTGTATCGTATAGGAACCCTGTTATTCGGGGATGTAGAGGCTGCTTAGCCGTAAGGGAGCGATCAATAGTAGAACTAAAAAGCGAGCGCCTAGCACCGTAAGGTAGGCGATTATACCAAATATAAGAGAATGACAAGATGGAGGAATCGAGAAGAAGACAATACCGAGGACAATGGGGAGTGACCGGGCTGTGTAATAGTAAAAAACAGGTGCAAAATAAGATAGGTCAGGTCAGGTAGGGCGATAAGTAGGGCAATGTAAGGTTAGATTAGGTAGAGACAGGTAGAGACGGGCAGACAGGGATCGAGACTCGAATCAAGTCAAGTCACTGTTTGAGAGGATAAAGAAAGGAGAGTTGCGACTAACCAAGCAATTAATCTATGTTACGTACCTAACTCATTGGCTCTGGATGAAGAGGGTATCTGAGACGTGTAGAGTTTATGTGGCGTGGTATGGTGCAAGTACAAGAGTTGTCGCGAAGTCCAACAGCGATAAATCGTGGGGTGTGATGTAACGGATGGTGGAATTGAAGAACGAACGAGGGGAGGAATCTATTGAGCAGGTCCACCCCTACCTTCCTACCTGCCTAGGCTGCTAGGTTAGGTTGCTTGCTTGAAGGAAGGTGATACTCTGGGACGGAGAATGCCAATTGGTCTGTGCACAGAAAGCGGTACCACAGGCGCCGGCGCTTCGGAGCTACAATAGCATCCGGGACGCAATCGCAATCACCTTAAAGGGAATGATAACCAAATGGGGGAAATCCGATTGGGAATCCGATTGGGAGATGGGAGACTTGACGATCACTACATGTATCCACCTGACTTTCGGTATCTATCTACATACACGCATCTGTCTTCATACATCTATCTATCTACTATCTTAGGTACATACATGATGTATGCACGTCTCTACATATGTATATCTTAGTATTTCTACAACACATCTCCAACCCAAGACGGCCTACTAAACTACTCGGATATGTGATTATTGATATCATCTATGGGATAATGTGTAAAAAGGAGGTTAGAATACAGATTCGGTCTCCTAAATCTATAATAGCGTTTGCGAACCCGATAAATGCGCAGATGATATCATTTACCCACTACGGCGCAAAGCTGCATGGCCCGAAAAAGCCACGTCTAAATCGCCCCTTGTTCTACAATGACGACTTATTCATCTACTATCCACCCAACCTAGGTGGTACTACCATTAGGTACTAGGTTAGTGTATAACAAGCTATTTCAACAATTTTCAACGAGTCTCATGTTATGACCTAGAATTATATAGAAACGTTGTTTATACTAAGCCTTCCATGATATTACCAAATATTGAAAAATATTTACCACTTCCAGTAACCGAGCGTGTTACTAAAGAACTTACACTATCAATACTATTAATAGGTTTAGATGGGGACTCTGCATATGGATTGGTAATATTGTTACTGACATATTCGATATGTCTAATAGCTTCGTACGTATATTAGGTCTCACAGTGACATAATTATAGCATTCATATAAGCAATCGCTTGTCTTCTATCTACCCTCACTCATTTTCACTCTCGGAATGAGATTCGAAGCTTAACGGTAACTACGATAATTATAATAATCAAAAAAATAAAATTATGTTGCCCAATATGACAGAGACATTTGGCCCAGCTTTCAAAGATCAGGAACGACCGCTTCTAAGCTTCGGATTGCCCTTCGTCGAATCGCTCCTTAAGCATGCAGACAGTACATTTCATGCAACTAAAATCTATGTTATCTGCTCTAGATCTCTTGCAGGAAATACGGCATACCTCGACGAGCTTAAAAGAAGACTAGGCAACAAAATTGCCGGTGTCAGGATTGGCATGAAGCCGCATTCTCTCTGGTCTGAGATACTTGAAGTTGTAGCCGACACAAGAAAAGTCGATGCAGACCTAATCGTTACGCTAGGCGCGGGAAGTCTAACAGACGCGGCCAAAATAGTCTCATTCGTATGCTTATATCCCGTGACTAATAATAAAGGGGCTACGATACTAACATGTACATACTAGGCACTAGCAAACGATGTCTCAACTCACGCTGAGCTAGACTCGCTCTGTCCAACAAGCCCAAAAAAGCGCGATGATATCAAGCCATCAAAAGTGCCAGTTGTTTGCATCCCCACGTCGCTCTCGGGTGGCGAGTATTCGTCCTTTGCAGGTGCAACGAACGACGAGACAGGACAAAAACACTCCTTTTCGGGAGCACTGCAGGGTCCTGCCCTAGTCATCCTTGACCCAGAACTTAGTACGACAACGCCCGATAAAGTCTGGCTAAGCACCGGTATCAAAGCCGTAGATCATTGCGTGGAAACCCTCTGTTCCCTGAAGAGTGACGATGCAGCAGATCAATATGCTAGAGATGGGCTATCTAAGCTTATCCCGGGTTTAATCAAGAGCAAGCAGAATCCTAAAGACCTCGAGGCACGATTGGAGTGTCAACTCGGTGCTAGAGATGCTATGGGCGCGTGCAGTCGGGGAGTGCCTTTAGGGGCAAGCCGTAAGTGAAATCTCAGACTTTCCTCAACTAGGCCCTATCAGTCTACTCTAAGTACCTAAGCTATAAATTCTCAAGACTAATACCCGTCATTAAATTAATTCCAAAGCTCTTGAAGATAGAGATTGCTAACTCCAGTTACTACAGACGGTATCGGTCATCAACTAGGTCCAGCGGGCGTGAGTCATGGCGAGACGAGTTGTATTCTTAACCCAGCCGTGTGTAAATATAACTACAAGAAGGGCGCAAATGTCGAACGCCAGAACGCCATTATCCAGCTCCTCTGGGAAGACTCTAAAGCCAGAGAGATTTTTGCTCAGAAAGGACTGGAAAAGGAGACGGCCGACCTTGGTGATTTGATGGATGCTATCATCCGCGCTCTTGGGTTGCCGAGGACGCTTAGTGAGGTCGGTATTGGGGAAGATAAACTTAGCGGTATCGCCGAGAACAGTTTAAAGGATCGGTGGGTGCAGACCAATCCGGCTCCTCTGGATAAGGAGGGCGTGTTAGAGATACTGAGGATGGTACTCAAATGAGCTGTGTTCGTAATGTATATTATCCCGCATGAGATAAAACAATGTCCATAAAAACAGATCCCAAGCTTCCACGCCTTGCGCTCATATCCGCACATATTAATGTCTCAATAAGTCCAGTCTCTGGTAAATCCTTCGCTGTCGCACTTAAAACCTTGCACCTAATCGATATTTATTTCCTCAAACTGTCAAGACGAGCCTGGAGATCGTCATCCCCGGGATCCCCACCGCCGCCGCTGGGGCCACCGATAGCTTGGGCAATCCGACCTTCGGGGACTTTCTCGGATTGAAGGCCTGTCGGGGTCTCTCCGAACTATTTAGTGTTAGACAGCGAGGCTTGCGACTTACGGCGAGTAGTTTACTTACGGCTTGGTTCAGGTCGACACCAATTTCCTCTAAGACTTGCTCCACAACTTCATCACCCTCCTCTTCTATGCCAACGTCCATTGCATCGTCGATCGCATCATCCATCATCTCCTGCCTCTCGTCCATTATAGCAGTCTCTCGTTCGAATTCCATGGCGATACGCTGTAATGCGGGCAAGTTCATCGACCTGTTCATACTGCCGAGGGCTACCGTGGCTCCTTTCATTGCTTGCATCATTTGCTCGTTGGTTCGATGGGTCTAAAGTGCGTGCTCGTCAGTGTGATGCAACCAATAGGTTCGCGACTAGAAGCGACTGACCTGTAGCCGTAATGATATTTTCTGTAGCTGACTCCTCATCCCGTAGAACTTCTCGACATATCTGCAGAAGGGCGATCGGGTATTAGTGGGATCCCCCACGTAATCGTCCAAGGTCCTAGAGCTTCTTACCTTCTCGTACGTACTAGATCCTTCGCTTGGATCTTAGCTGCTCCCATTTGCCCCTTTTGCGCACTCTGTTTAATCTGGCCGACGAGAGTCTTCTCCTGCTTCTCTAGTTTAACTCGCACTTGATCTAGTTCTCGGATTGCTTTATCGATCATGCGCTGGTTCTTGCGTAGACGCTCGGCAGGCGTCATGCGCTTGCCGAAGGCCCATTCTAGGATCTAGCCGTAGATAGTCAGCTTTCCATTCCTATATAACCATTTGCGAGCTATTGTGTTCGCCGGCTTACGTTCATCGCTGCGGAAGTCGAAGTATTTCACACAAGGCAGCTAGGAACCGTGCTCAGGCTGAGAAGGTGTCGGATTGCCGGCGAATAAGTCGTTGATTTCTAGCAATTTCGACAAGTCTAAGTGAAGTACGCGTATCGTTACGTCGATGGAGTCCTAATAGGCATAAATCTCGGTTGATTCCTAATAGGTTCCCAATAAGTTCCCAGCGGTCAGCGATGTGTAGCCTGGTAAATACGGATCCGTACCAATTAATGAGAACCTTGAGTTGGATCAACCTCACATGCAATGACGCTGGGGGAGGTACGTACCTCTTTATAATGTATTGATGTCCAATCCTGCTGCGTAATAGGCCCCGCTTGGCACCCGCTACTAAACACACTTATACAATGTATGAGGTATATATGCATATAAAGGAGCATAACACCCGATTTATACATATGTCTAAAAGTCTGATGTAATCCAGGGTTATGGGTCGATAAGTGCTGCAACTCACTTGTTAAGCGCACATCATCTCAACCAATCAGAGCTTTTTCTCTGCATCACCATGCCATAATTTCCCGAGGTCGCCTCTATTCGAGAAAGCAAAAAGCTATCACCGCTCATCTTTTTACCCAATACCCAAAAAATCTTTCATTTACAACTACCCCGCGAATCACTACGAGAGCCAGAGGATCGATTCCTCACTATCGATTTCGAAGTCGGTAATACATTAGGTACTTATGAGTTTACGAATTTGACGAAAGCGATGAGTGGCAATCAAAAAGGCAAGGGCAAAGGCCGCCGCGGACGGAATCGTGAGGAAGAATCCGCACCACCTCCGTCTTCTTCCGGAGCCCCGGGTTACATGACCGTCGGCAGCGGTTCCTCGCAGCATGCTTCACGATTACAAACACTCATAGATGACGATTCGGGCTACGGCGGTAGCATCGCAGGCGACGATGCTAGGCGACAGGTCGGTTCTTCTCGAACTGACCCGTCCTTGTCGGGGGATATGCCGCTTCAACGTCGTTCTTCAAGCAGTCCGGACTCTGAACACCGAAAGGAAGCAGCAGCTATTCACCAGATGTGGTATAACCAGCATCGATCATCTTTAAATCGCGCCATCAGTAAGGTCGTCGATCTCCTCAAAACCCTTCAAGAGACAAATATCGCCTGGCCTGCGCATTATCCTTCGGTCCAGAGAGCGGAAAGGGCTTCTCCCGAACGATCCGCGCCACGTCCAGGAATACAACATACCTCTACTATGGGCCCAGAATCCTCTTCGCACCGCCCGCGCCCATTGCGACGATCGATGACGACTGCAGAAGACTACGAAACTGCAGAATCCAGTAGGGATGCCGAGAATAAAAACGCAGTGGATTTACCGAGATTGGTTTCGCCGCAGATTGCCCAGGAGTTTTCGATTCTAAAGTTGGACCTTAAGTTAGGCGGTTTACATCAGACTGAGCTCGTCCATTCTCTTGAGAAAGGATCTATTGCCGCATTGCTAGATGGAAAGATTAGCTCTACCATCAAGCATTTACAGGTGCTTCGTGAAAGAATTGAGGACACATCTAGCAAGGTTTTAGTAACTGGAGACCTGAATGCCGGAAAGTCTACGTTTTGCAATGCGCTACTACGCCGAAAGGTTCTCCCGGAAGATCAGCAGCCATGCACAAGCATTTTCTGCGAAGTCTTGGATGCGAGGGAGAACGCTGGAGTTGAGGAGGTTCACGCAGTCCATCAAGATTCGATCTACAATCGACACGACGAATCGACCTACGACGTCTTCCCTCTAAATGACTTAGAGAAGATTGTCCTCGACAATGTTACCTATATGCAATGTAAAGTTTACATCAAGGATGTGCGAACGATTGATGAATCATTACTCAATAACGGCGTTGTCGACATTGCTTTAATTGATGCGCCGGGTCTCAATTCTGACACGACCAAGACGACGGCCGTATTTGCGCGCCAGGAAGAGATTGATGTGGTTGTCTTCGTTGTATCTGCTGCGAATCATTTCACCCAGTCTGCAAAAGAGTTCATTTGGGCTGCTGCGGCAGAAAAAGCGTACATCTTCATGGTAGTCAACGGTTATGACCTCATCAGAGACAAGGAGCGGTGCCAGAAGATGATCTTAGATCAGGTATATGGTCTAAGCCCTCGTACATTCAAAGAGTCCACCGAACTCGTACATTTCGTATCCAGCAATGCTATCCCAGTTTCTTCACCTCCCGGCGGTCCAGATGGAGGAGGCAGCGGTAGCTCGAGTGGAGGTGGTGATGACCCTGGTGATGATCCCAAAGGAAAAGGCAAGGACAAGGAGAAGGTTCGGGACTTTGAGAAGCTAGAGCAGTCCCTAAGGCGGTTCGTCTTAGAAAAGCGAGCACGGTCTAAGCTTGCGCCCGCTAAAACTTACCTCCTCAACATCCTCAACGATGTCAACGTACTTGCTACTGTCAATTCCGAGATGGCCACGTCCGAACTGGAGCGAGTGATGAGCGAATTAGAAGTGATCGAGCCTCAGCTAGAAGCTTCAAGGAAAGCAAAAGCTGAAGTGAGTGAGGATGTGGACCAAACCATCGAGGAGACTTGTAAAGATATTTATGACCACACCCGGACCACACTCAACTCGGTCATTGCCCATGCTGGTGATGGCAATTCTGGCGTACCTTATCCAGGTCTATTCCACGTTTTCCAGTACGCCGAAGAGTTGAAGGAAGCCATGCTGTCTCAGATCTCAGAGTCAGTCACGTCTTGTGAGGAGTACGCACGGACGAAGACTGTTGGCGGCGTAAATATGATCAAACAACTCGGCATATTGCATCTCGGCAACGAATATCACGATCTCAACTTCCGCGCTGACGTTATGTTCCGAAGGAGACGTGACGTATTAGCAAAACAAGTCGACGTACCTACGGAGTTATTGGACTTAGTCGACTGGTCTACACTTATGCAACGGCAAGAGAAGATGGCTGGCACTGGAATGGCCTTAACCGTTGCCACTGCGATTGGCGGGCGTTTGGTTGGAGGTATGGGATGGATGGACCACACCCTGAACATAGTGAAGATCGTCGGAAATGACAACCTTCGAAGGCTAATTGTCCCTGGCTTAGTCCTAGCAGGTATGCATTACTATGGTGTATTGATACGAAATTAAAGCTAACTATTATTGTCTAGTCGTCTCAGCTACAGTCTACGTTGTTCAGCAAATACCGCATTCACTACCTCACCGCTTATCTGAAAAGATCTCGGCGCAGCTAACAGCAATCGACTACGTCCATGCAAATAGCAATCGCATCTCGAGTTCGGTGCGCAAGGTACTCCGATACCCTGCGGACAATCTCCGGGTTGCCTTAACGCGCTCCGTCGAACAACTTGGTAAGCGTCAAGAGGAGACCATGAAGGTGCGCGGCGAAAGCGAGGTAGCTCTCAAGTATTTCGGGAACCTAGTACGCGAGAGTGCCCACCAACGCAGCTTAGTCGAGGAGATAGATCTCGATGCACACCCTCTGCCTTCTGCCGGCGTAAACATTGCTTGAAGCAAGACATATTTATGTACGTACGGCATGGAATGGCGTTGAGGAGGGTACACTTGAATTATCGGCATGAGATCTTGTTTGTTTGAGCTCACGCGCTTCCTTCTCTAATAGTCTTGGTGGAGATGATGGCAGGGAGGAAAAAAAAAAACTTCACGAGTAACGTAGAATGGCAAATGGTTTTGTGGCGTCCAGAGTCAGTTGTAGGCTGGACGAGTATATGAACTCTACTCCCCCATTCTTTTTCCTCGATCCATTTGTACGTACGTACTAGTTTATACTAAATCATAAGGAAAATCAGGGCTTAACCGAGTTTAGATCTACGTAGAGCATTAAGATAGCAGCATCAATAGCGTAGACAGTATAATATTACTTGCGTCGTAATAGGTACGGTAGCATTATGTTTCTGTAATATGTAACTGTATCCGGGGAAATTATTGACCACGATTAACTGGGGTAAACGTGAGCGAGTAGTATTAAGTCGCACTGATAGATAAGTATCCTAGTATCATTACAGCATTAACTCAGGGTTATATGATGATCACGCCAATGTTTGCTATTAAAGCTACCGAGATTGAGGTCCCACATGCAACATAACTTAGGTATACATGGAAGACAAACACCTGAGTTAGCTCTAACTAGACTATCTAACAGCTTGATATCCTTTTTCTATGGAAGGGGTATATTGTTGAAAAGACTGTTCAAGATTTAAGTCTTTCCAACATCTTACCAACAACATTTGGCATACTACGTAGTATAGCCGAGTAAGAATATCGGTTATTAACTAATCATATTGATCTGCCCAGATATCCCACTTTACATATCACGTAACCGCGTAAGTTGATCATACATATCTAGGACTAGCTCGGCCAGCAGTGGGGAAGGGAGAGAGAAAACATGGTACTGACACGTGTAGAGCAGTCTCGTTGTTGGTCAATGATTAACGTACCATCCCTTATGCACGTAGTATATGAGGTAACTTCCATGGTAGCTACCTCACTACATTATGTACATAGTGTGTGCGTCGTGAGCCGGCGTACGGGGTGTTGGAACCAATCCGGGCCGGGCCGGATCATGTTGGGAATCGGATACGCAATCGCCACGGATACGCAATCGCCAATCGGCAGGAGACGTTTGCTGCGCCGCATGAACCCTCAAGGGTCTTGGTTTCATAGCGGTGACGACAATTCTATAATACGTAATTCCAAATAGTTACTACATATGTACATCAAATCTTAATTTCTCCTTATGTCCGAATGCGCGGATTCGCTTGGGAACTATCCAACATCCGGGATGAGCCGCGTGATATCGACCCGAAGTTCAGGAAAGGTGCCCCTGCTACTGCAACAGCAGCTACATACGCGTGGCTTACGCATGCAGACAAGGAATCCTACGTGTAAAAAAGGTGCTAACATCCTGGCCTGGATCCCTGGGATGCCAACGCTCAGCTGATAACCAGTCGAAGTGGGTTGTCGTGCCCACATGCGAAATGCAGAAGGTCCCAGCGCTCCGTCGAAGCACGCGAGGAATGCACATAACTAAAAGCTTTACCCGTTGTTGTATCCGTTGTATCCGAGCCATCCGTCAGCTTGTTATGGGGTATTTGTAGTGTATTAGGTAGAGCTAAGGTACCTCGCAGTCTGCCTAGTGTATGTATGTATGTGACCTATAGCCTATAGTAGAACTCCTATATAGGGGTATATGCATGGAATATCTAATCCGTACAAATGAGATGCGTTACGTTTGTACTGTACTGTATATAAAACTTATGCAGACTTGCTCAAAGCACTATGCTAAGCGAGCCGTCTTTATGCAAGCAGTCTGCCATCCCGTACCGTTTCGACTCTAGACTCCATTGTAGCACCCCTGTGATGAAATATCGACACCATTTGATAAAGGCCTGCACGTCCCTGCTTACTTCGGCGTTATCTGACGCCATCTCAACAAGGGCCTTTGCGGCCTCTTCGAATCCCCTCATGGATTCCCGCAGAGCCGCTTCAATCCCGCTGGTTACTGTGTCTAGAGTCTGCTTTTCGGGGCTGCAGTTTTTGTACATCACTGGTACGAGGTTGAACAGCGACGATTGTGCCTGATGGTCGTTAGCACTTACATGAGTTTTTGTATATTTGTTTGTTTGTTTGTATGTAGGGCTTACTATTTCTTTTTGTACCGAGTATATGTCGTTGAGAATAAGACACATAACAACCGTCTCCTTCCAGAGCTCCTTCATAGGGGCACACTCCATGATAGACTCGGGAAGTCTTACTTTAAGCATGTGACTAAAAGACATATCGTGAGTAGTGAATCTTTATGATGTTGGCAAGTTTCTCGTTGCTTACTCTGTAAGTGCAATCTGAGGAGCACAGCCGACAGACCCGGATCGAATATCGAGGTACTTTTCCACAGTAGGGATAGAGCCTCGCATTCGGTGTCCATGTTCCACACCCACACTGATCATGAAGTTTTCCAACTCGCGGTAGAATCTTTCTCGTTGTATTCTGTCCGTTGAGTTGCGCAGACCCCGACCAACATCGGCAAATAAAGCCATGTTGGGGTGTAAAGACTCCTCTTCCTTGGTGATTATCTCCGGAGCTCCTTCGCTTTCGTCGAGGCCCAGGAGGCAGTGGACTGTGCTGAGAGATTTCTGGTAGTAGGCTCGAGCGAGCTCCTCGTCGTTAGACACGTCAGTATCTCCGGCATCGACCTCGTCGTCCCACACGAAAATCCAGACTGAATAGGCGGTGGCTATCTCAAGCTCGGGCCATTCCGCGTCAGGATACCAACTGTGCGGGAAGATTAAATTAGTCGATTGTTTGACTGAAATATAGGCTAGGATATGCTAGCTTACAGGGACATGAGGCGACCAAAGTCCGCCTTCTTTAAGGCTTTCAACTTCTTCTCGTTAGTGATGATGCGTTCGAGCATCGAGTTCACGAGGCCCTCGAGCCTCTCTGCGTGTGGGTTGGCAGCGAGCGGCCATTCTGAGAAGAGTTTCCATAGGTCAGGGAGGTGGAAGGTCTTTCCATCTAGCTGAGTAGCTAAGGTCAAAGCTTCGTCGCGAAGGTCCGAATGGGCATTAGGCTTGGTAGTTTGCGGGAGGGGAGTTCGAGGAAATACAGATAATAACTTGTACTGCAATCGCTCCAGGAGGCGCAATAACTGTGTCTTTGTTTGGACCTTCATCTTGTCTATCTTGTTCTTGTCTTTTAGAGGATTTTTAGAGGAGAACAGCTGGTATTTGTTGAACAGACATATTACTTTCCTCACGGCTCCTCTCTCCTTATAAGTGAGAGCCGATGTTGGCGTTCCGGTAACTCGGGAATATAGTCTAAGACTCGGCTAAAAGATGATACCTAGCAGGTTGGTACAACGCCAACTCAAAGCTAGGGAGGAGTAGTTGCCAATATTGGCAAACATGAACGACGAGGACTACCTTCTAGTACAACCTAATGCAGTGTGATACCTAGAAACAGTAGGATGGTGTGTCACTCTTGGAATAGATTGGTCGAACGAAGCCTAGTTGGTTATAGTTGGGCTATAGAAAAGCGGCATTGAGGGACGCATACACGGGAGGTTATCTACGTAATCGGCTTGTAGGTAAGGGTTATGTATGTTGGCCCACGGTACGTTATGATGCCAATGTCCGCACTCTCGCCGGCTAGTTTCATGAGCTACCAGACGATCGTCATCAAGTCGTATTTGGAAGCTCATAAGAGTACATAATGTAATGGGGAATGAAAATGGTCAATACCATGTGGTGTTGTAGAGGGAGGTAGTATGCAGGAAGCCCTAGATCGGATCTAGAATAGGACTAATAACTAGAACCAACTACAAACAGATAACGGTTCCGGCGGCTCTACATACTGGCGTGATGTATCCATGCAACACAAGAAAACCGATATTGAACTATGTATTTCCTCACCAGTTTAGGATCGATTAAAACGTGCAAAACGATGGGAACATCCACTTTGGTGGCTCATGTGTTATTCCACCTCCACCCACAAGGTTCTGAATCCGCTAGATTATGCTTAGGACGGAAATGCGAATACGTCCGGAAAGGACCAAGACGAATAATCCGTCTAACGTTGGAACGGCTGATTACACGGTAACATAGCTAATACGCCAGCGACTAGTATATCTGATCTAGTACATGTGACATGCCATAGACTTATAGGGCATAATCATAACACACGTAAAAACGCATATATTTGTGAAGTTGAAAGAAGCTTAAATAAGCGGTCAAAATGAATAATCGTTAGTTATATACGGATTGACAACCTACAATTATAATAGAGTTATCTGATTGGTCAGCTACTATAAATTCGGAAGCTTGTTCGGAAGAACAATTTTAGAATCTCGTGATAATAAGAGGAATAATATGAATAATATGAGGATCGCGGGTTAAACCCCAACCTCTGATCCTCAGATACCCGATTTGGCACCATGTTTGCTTGGGTGATCTTGTAAGTCGACCAGCCTCTAGAACTTCTTAGCCAGACTACCTAAAACAGGAAAAGAACCTGGACCATCCATGGTTAAAAGTTAAATAATAATCGGGGCCGCGACTCCAGCAGGGGCTTTGAGGGGCTCCTCCGGTTCCCGCGATCCACCCCGAAATTTCATTGTAGGAGGTTTGCGTGGGGTGTCTTTCATTCTTTTAGTTAGTCTGTTAGTGTAAAGGTCAGAAAGGTGTGAAGGTGTGGAACAAGGTATGGACAGTATGGGATCGCACGGTATGTTATAGTCGGTCGAGACCTATACTATATAATTATACCCACATTTGTAGGGAACTTTCGGCCTGTCAAGTTATTTCAACAGCACTGTTATTTCAACTAGCGAAGCTAGTTCCATTATCTTGCTGCTGTTGGTTTTTTTCCTTTTCGTCGGCGCGGTCAGCGGAGTTAGACGTTAAGGTCTTAAAACCTAACTAGGTAGGTAAATAGGAGGTGAGGTTTATATTAGGTATTAGGTATTAGGTATATTAGGTATTACATAATGTAAATATATATGATAAAGTACCTAACATACATATGTACAATGTACGTAAGACATGATAGTGAGATATGATAGTTTTGCTGCAGAACCGCGGCTCAAAAGTGGCGAATACCATTCGGTAACCTACCAGCGAATGTTCCGATATCACGGAATGCAGCTCGCTACACGAACTGAGAGATGTACCCAAGTATTTATCCTAATACGAAATGTAGACCGAATTACAAATGTGACCTGTCAAGTAAAGGTACCTAAGGTAAGAGGTGAGAGAAGTACCTAAAGACCCTTGTTCTGTGACCTGCACTAATATTATAGTACACATAGGCTACTTCGCTACTTATGCATGTCTAAATGAGATAGGTTAGGTAACTTCTCAAGTTTGGTGCAAATAGTGCAATCACAATATGGACATACATAATCCGTAAATGCGGTTAAATATGCAACTACACTAGCTCATGCACCTGTCGCGCTACTTTCCCAGAGGTGTGGAAAGACCTTGCGGTTCCGTACACTAGACAGAAGACTAAGGTAGGTATGTACGGATTACATAACTTACATAATGTTATGTACATGATGCAGATAGATTACATATGAATATAAGTTTATAAGTTCTTACTTGCAGGACAACTAACTAGGAATATATCTTACAGGAACACATCCCGGACTGGTGATCTTAACACTTCCCCCTCCTTGGGTACGGGCAACAAAGAATAACATGCGACGGATGAAACATGACTTGCAGTATTTTCCCTTGAGTGGTGACAAATCTGTAAAGGCAAAACGCAAAACCACGCAAACCGCACATGGCCGCCAAGAGAGTTATGTCGAGAAGCAGGGCTACTTACTTGCCTAGAACATACCTAGAACAAGGGTCGAGAGATAGGGACTTACATAGGACAAGACCTGGATAGGAAACAGGGGTATGAGAACGTGTCAGTATCATTTTTGCAGCTCCGCAGGGCCACGAATCCCAGCTTGTCTACCATGTACCTGTCTGTCTGTCTGTCCGTAACCCCTTGCCTGCATGTCTATCCCCAAAGCACGCAGTTTATTAGCCCACGGCTCCAACGGCAGCCTTCCGGTAGCTATTAAATGGACTCGGCACGGGTCGTTGTCATATGCCCTAGACCCTATGTAGGCCAGTGCTCACGGCTAAAAGCCCACCCCATCTGACATCGCGCAAACTTCACTCACTTAGTTTGCTTTTCTTCAACCATTTGCGTCAATCTTTTCTTGACCATGTTTAGGATGTTTAGAGGAGGGGGAGATACCGTCGATGAACAATGAATAGGATCAGGGAAACTCTGGCTAGAATAGCTCGTGCCGCTCGTGGATCGCGCGACCCGGCTTCTTCTTCAAGCTTACGCCTAGACCGCGTAGGCCGGTCGAGTAGCTCGACACTCGACTCTCGGGAAAAGATCCTGATACGCCCAGATGGCCGAGGTCCTCTTGTCCTCTTTGACGGCACCCAACACGGCGACGACGGCATCGACATTGTTTTCGTCCATGGACTCTACGGCCAACGAAGCGGGACCTGGACAAAAGCCGGTGTCTGCTTTCCTCGCGACTTTCTCGGGCAGGACATCCCGGGTGTTAGAATTATTGTATGGGGATGGGTCGGAGCCTTGAGTACTAGCGGCACATTTTCCGAGCAAGCAGAAAACCTGCTAGCGGATATTGCTCGTATCCGTACTGGGACAAAACGTCCCATCATCTTTGTAGGCCATGGCATAGGCGGTCTCGTTGTCAAAGAGGCCTTGGTCACGGCGGCAATGTCACGGATATATGGTACACACGTCGAGCTGGGCAACGTGTACCCTAAGACTATTGGATGCGTCTTCTTAGGTACACCTCACGTAAGGGGTGGAAAGCGTTCCCTAGGTGAATGCATTGCTACAACTGCTCTGTTATCACCGATTCCGCCGACTCCTCAGCTCCTGAAAGCTTTCAGGGAGAGTGACAAAGCCTTCGAGAACCTTCACAGCACGTTTCTTATGATTTCGAGAGACATAAGAATTATATGTGCTCGAGAAAAGTTGCCAACGACCATAACGGCCTCGGCTGATGTGGTAAAGGATGCTGATGGAATGGAATTGGGAAGGGGGACGATCCAGATGATGGTCCCAAGGGACTGCACAACCTACGAGGGCTTCAATGTATCAAAGCTCGACGTGATGGTAACTCACCAAGACCTTGCAAGGTGTAAGAGCAGAGACGACCCGGGATATGCGCAGATTGTTCAGTATCTCGTCAAAGCAGCAACTGCTCTAACACCCGCCGAAGTCGAGGCGAGGGAACCCCGAAATCAAGGTACATGATACCCGGCGCTTCTACCTTATATACGTTATTCTTTCGTGACTAACTCTTAGGGTTTAGAAATCCTTAATGCGCTTTACTTCGACACTATGAATGAACGCGAGTCCCGAATAGACCCGGCCTATGGCGATACGTGTGACTGGATCTTGGACCCTAACCAATCTCCCCTCCCTAATTTCCTCAGATCTAATGATACCGTCCTAGTAAGTGCCTTGGTTTTATTGTCCCTTTGCCGTTTGCTTGGGGTTATATAGTCCTCAGTTGTGGCCATCATCTGATATCAGGACTAAGATAACTAGCCAAGCTATTTCTTTTTCATACAGTACCTTTTGCAGCGTTGATTAACTCTGGTTGTGTAGTGGATTAGTGGCACTGCTGGATCTGGAAAGTCGACGATGATGAGGCACCTATGGCGATCCGAGCAGTTGAGAGAGCAACTCCTCGACGGGTGGGGACACGGGGGTGATTTTCACATGGCTTGTTTCTTTATGTTCGAAGGTGGTGGTCCGATCCAGAAATCCTACGAAGGCTTCCAACGCAGTATTTTGTACCAAATCCTATCGGCAAGACGTGATCTCATTAGAGTCGCCTTTCCTAGCTTTTTCGATGGTCCTTGGCCACCTCCAGTACTATTCACCAGCAACCGCAATCTTAACCAAGCATTCTACTCTATCTTCGCCCAGATGTCCGACAACCTACGCCTCTTCATTTTCATGGACGGACTCGATGAATATCGCATTATAGATCGGAAGGATCAATACGAGCCAAAGGAACTTGATGTCACTTACAAGAACACAGGAGATGAGTTTTGGGGCCAGAGCAAATGGGCCATGGATTCTCACGTGGAGATCTCGAAACTCGTCAACAGTATGGGCAACAAAGACAATATCAAATTCATCATCACCTCACGTGAACTATCAGTGTTTGAGGAAGCTTTTGTTGGCGTTCCAAGAATCAAGCTCCAAGATCACACAGAACGGTCTATTACACAATATGTGGCAGGCCGACTTGAAGATGAGGCTCCTGGGCTACCGGATACCAATAATCTCTGTAGGGAGCTAGCCCAGAAGAGTCATGGCGATATACTATGGGCGAGGCTAGCGATCGATATGGTGGTCGGTTGCAGTTTGCGCAGTTTAAGGAGCATGTTGAACTCTTTACCGTCGCACCTTGGAGGACCCGACGGCCTGTACATGCGTATGCTGCAAAACCTAAGCCACGAATATCAGCGTAGCGCATCTAGGATTTTTCATATTGTCCTCAGAGCGCAGCAGCCGCTGAGCTTAATTACACTCGCATTTGCTGAAGAAGGCTATCTGCACCCTAGCACGGGCGAGCTGAGGATGGTTTACGATAACAAGCGTCCTTATGACAATGATGCCGTCGAACAGCTGGCCGATGAAATGCAGAGGCGGTTACAAACCTGTTGCGTCGGCCTTCTAACTGCCGAGACGGGGATATCCACTAACTCCAACACCGTAGAAACGGGGAAACGAGTCGTCTTTTCTGATCAGACAGCTAAGGAATGGGTACGACGCAAGGACATATGGCAGAAACTTCCTGGTGTCGAACCCGTCAGTGATATAGAGCTGGACTTCTCACTACTTAGTGGATTTGCGAGGCACATCAAAGTTTTTGGAATTACGCAATCTCCGGTATTGGCATGGCCAAGCTGGCGAATCCGGCCTGATGCATGGCTATTACTTTCGAACGTGATGCGGTATGCTGAGAGGATTGACAATAAGATTGATGACTTAGAGAAATATTGCGAGCTGTTGGACGAGGTAGATAGTACATGCCAACAGATCTGGGTCGCGGCTCTGCAGAGTCACAAGCCTCTCCACGAGGATCCCGACTGGTACGAGAGTCGGCTCCCAAGTCTTCTCAAGAAACACTGGTCTAGTTACGAACCAATGGATATTGGCAAGCCACCTAAACGGAAAGACTTCCTAACCCTCGCCGTCCAGGCTAGCCTAGTCCGATACGTCGATACAAAACTAAATAAATTAAGTGGTGACGCGAGAAGGAAGAAGGCCCAGGAGCTTCTGCCTTTCGTCGTCAGCCCCAAGGCCGATGGCATCAGCGCTTGTGCTACTCTCAGTGGAGATTACTCGGAGTTCCATCACGATATGCCAGATTCCCGCTTGCTAGATATTCTGTTCGACGCAGGAGCATCCGCACGCGATGACGAGAGGCTGTGGACGAAGGCATTGAAAGCAGGACGTAATTACTTCTCAAGGGGCAGCGTTACGATGACGCACTTGCTAGAGACGTCATCGAGCGCGAGGCTCATGGAGAATCGCGAGAGATGGGTTGCCGCCATCAAGGCGTTACTACAGCACGGCGCGGATCCCAATACCGACATCCAAGTTACAACCGGAGAAGGAGAAAACCAGTCCACGACGACAGTAGCGGCTGTAGACCTAATACGAGATACGCTAGAGGGGGAGCCCGAGTATGCCGTCGAGCTCGTCGAGATGGAAGTACTAATGGGCAGGAGAGGGAGTGTTGGCCTTGCGAGATGAGATTGACGATGACGTGTGACGATGTGCTTCTAGCTCGGGAAACGAGGAGGGACGGGACATAAGGTTGGGATGGTGCGTAGAGAAAGGAAAAGTTTCGGAGGTAATTAGGATCAGACTCCAGATTGACTAAAGTGGTTCACGAGTCTATATAACTAACGTATCACGACTAACTAAACAGCATCCGCCGGCTTGTTCGGCGGAGACTCAATTACCTAGCTCTACTGCTCGTCGCATATATAACAACACATATACCTAGGTAACATTGAAGCAGAACGATAGATAGTATCACTCGAAATCGGCATGTACCAAGACTGGATGGAGGATCATGTATAGAATGGCGTGTCGGGAAATCATAGAGTTGATATTATGCATTCTTTGTAGATAGTCAAATATTAATATTATAGTTATATTCAGTACCTCAACGTCTGGATTTCGGAAGGATAGATTACTATTTGCATTTATATGACGGTGATGGGATTACACGTATGATGGATACCTCTAATATTGTACTCTAGTCTATAGTAGAGTCCTGTTGAAGCAAAAGTAATACTTGCTCTTAAACCTTGGCATTTAATAAATATATGGGCTATCAGATTAACATACGTAATTTGAGAATTGCTTGAAGACCTCATAATTCTAAATAAGTATACATATGTTCATTCAGGTCTAAGCGCTTTGACATCGTAGTCTCGGGTCGTAACTTAGATGTTATAATGTGCGAAGCAAGCAGAAAAGTACCTCCTAACCTATACTTTATCTAGGTACACAATCACAAATAGAGATTTCAGTAAATAAGTTAAACGAATATCTCTTACGAGGGGGAATAGGATAGTGAAATAGACATAACAAAATAGATAGCAAAAGCAATCATCAGGGCTCTCTTTGATCCGCATATAACTCCCGCCAAAAAGGGGGGGAGCAGCTAGCTCAGTACGCATTCCAACCAAGAACCAAGCCACGGTTATTACTAGGAGCTAGCAAAAACGCAGTGGCCGGCCTAGACTGTGCGCTTTGGGATTTCGTCATATGATTGCTAGAGTGCTTTGGTTTGGAAGTTGGAAAAGTACGAGATCAAAACGACTTACCTCTTCCGAATACTAGGACACGAAGAACTATACACGTTTAAGGGCGCTGACGCTGGTATTTATATACTAAATGACAGGCTGAACCCCCGTTTTTTTTTCATTGACTGTAGCCCCGTATCTACTTGTTTTTTCTGGACGTTGCAGCAACTAGGCGTTTCTTGAGATGCTTCGGCATCTTTTCTTTCCGCTTCTCGGCCTTGGCCTCCTTCGTCGCTTGCTTGCGTTGCTGTAATTTATTAGTATGACATGTCCTCTAACTTTAGAATAATATAATAAAGCGGATATACATGTTAAGGGGAGGGGGGAAGTAATGAAAACGGGATATCATGTTAATGTATAACATACCTTCTTCTCATCCTTATCTTCAAACCGTTTGCCCCGCGGTGTCCCCTTCGCAAATCTACTCTCGTCATCATCATCGTCGTCGTCGTCACTATCGAGAGCTACTCCTTCATCCGACTCGTCCTCTGAGTTCAGGTTTGCCTCTCTCGGCTTAGTCACTACTTGGTCCGCGAGGAGGTTCCTGTAGACGAGCTTGTCTCCCTCACCCTCCCCGATCTTCTGTGCGTCCTTCTCGATATCGTAGACCTGTTCTAGTGTCTGGGGGATATATTGATTTCGGAAGACCTCATTGTCGACCTCCAGCTCGGCTGCTGCTGCCTCGTCGTCAGCGGGTTGCGACCTCGAAGCGTATAGTTCTTCTATCACTTCTGATAGTCTTGGCTCTTCCACCGCGCCCTTGGACTCCGTGATGAAGTCGAAGATGGTACGATCGGATAGCGTGTCGACTCCTTGTCTGCGGAAGAAGTCACCTGTGTTCTTGATATCCATTCGAAGAAACTCCAGTGACCGAGGATGATCGTGCTCAACGCTTTGAGACACATCGATGATGTAGAGTTGTCCGTCATTGTATAGAATATTGTATTCACTCAGATCTGCGTGCACTAGCCGCGTAACCTGGTACATGCGTCGCATGATACCCAAGAGTTGAACGTAGAGTTTTCTCCAAAGTTGATCCGCATCATCGCGGGGAATGTTGGCGTCGCGCAATCGCGGGTACGCGTATCCTTTCTTATCTCCGAGGAAGCTCATCAAGAGGACGTGGAGCTTGAGCTGTAGGGGTTCAGGGCAAGGAATAGCGGCAGAATGTATTCTCTGCAAGTTGCGATATTCCTTTTCTGCCCATAGCTGGACCATTCTCCTGCTGTTGCCCTTGTTTGAGCCGGATTTAAAGCGGTGCTCGCCAGTGATGTATCTCTCGCGGTCTTTGAAGCTTAATATGGCTGTCTTGTAGACCTTGACAGCGCGCTGGACGGGCGGTCCGTTGATATCAGGATATGCGATAGCACCATATACGTTGGCCTCCTTGCCCGTACTAATTGCGCCATGTATCTCGTTGACTACGCCGCGATTGATCATCTGGTAAAGAATCATACGGGTTCTCTGATCAAGGACCTGTTCGCTCGTAGCCCTATCGGCCTTATCCTTCTCCCGATCTTGTCCCTCCTTGACATCGTCTAGTCGTATCTTAGCAGCATGTCTTGAGAGAGCCGTGATCTGATCATCTACGCTAGCGACGGTGTTAGCGGCAGGTTTCTGCTGATTAGAATGCAGGGGTTGTTGTCGGTTGAAGTTTCGCGTTATGTCTGGTTCCCCATCTAGGCCGAGGCCATCGTCAATATCATCGTAATCGTTGAAGACAGAGTCCAGATCGTCATCGTCATCCGAAGTTTCTGGGGCAGCATCGGCATCGGCTAGACTTCTGGGAATTTCCCGGTTCGCTATTTCATCATGAGAATTGGCGCTAGGTAAGTGAGTCGATTGCGATGGTGGTATCGTCGTGGAGTTTTCGGTCTCCATGATAGATATTTGGATAGATATTTGCGACGGCGCTATTGAAGACGGCAAGTGGAATTTCTTTTGTCGGAAGTAATATTGGCTTGATATATCCTAATATATGTATAAGAGTGTATAAGAGCTACTTGAGGAATTCTGGTTTCGGATTGTTCTCCACGGGTCTGGTCTGGTGAGGCCTCTACTTGTATAATAGTACGGCGCTGGGTCAATGGAATGGAATTGATGAAGATTGTTAAAAGGTAATAAAGTTGTTTGCAAAAATAACCTTTGACTTTATTGAACAGCGGTTTACAATTCTGGAGGTGACACAGACTCAGACAGGGTCAACCCCACTAACCTTGAACGTAACCCCACCAACTTTATCTTATCGAACTTAGGGCATAGTATACATGTGACTTGCATTAGTCGTAGTTAATGTTAAGTACATAAGTACCTGAATATGTTCAATATGCATCTCAAATAAGAATCAAGGTCAAGCAATCCTATTGTTACCCTGCTATAATCTACCTATAGATCAATACTATTACTCCTTCCTTCCATTCTTATCAACCCCGCTCCCTAAGGTTACATAAACCTTCAAGTGATCGTCAAGCCCGACTTCCTTTTCATCAGCTTGACAGCAAGATGATTCGTCCATTATCCAATATATGGCGACGGCCAAGAAGCAGGCCTTCCTGCAAGCCATACTGCAAGTAAAGGCCATACCTACATAGATATAATGATAAGCCTGCCGCCATATGTAGTAGTTTGGGTAGAATTGGTATTCCCCCATATGATGTCTTGCTGATCTTGACTTCTGTTCCTGCAGATATCATACCAATAGTAATTAGCTGACGTGATGGTGTTTCCTCGTCCCTATTATCTGTGGCTCACCACATTGTCCAATGGTTCGTCGATGCTACGCTATGATTTGAGTCCTATCATATTAAAAACTAACATTTTCTAAGCTGTCCTTGCTACCTCGAGAGTTGTGGGAATACCTACTATCCCTTTTACCACTTCTAATGACGGGGCGTATCCAATTACATCCCTTAAAGGAGTGTTGGTAGACTCCAGATTTACCGAAAGCCGTGATGAAACCGGAGAGACGTTGATTCCACCAAGTCTACAAGATTTCGCCAAAACATTCGTAGACGACTTACACAGTGTCTTGGGTCTCGATATTGACGTCTCCATTGGCGATGAATCTACATCAGATACCATATTTCTCACACTGGGTGATCCTAGCAAGTATACTGATGCCAGCGGTTCCCTGACTTCTGAAGGGTATACGCTCTCAGTCAACTCTTCAGGGGTTGTCATATCCGGTGCCAGTCCCTTGGGTGTGTGGTGGGGTACGCGAACTATCTTACAGCAAGCAGTTCTATCAAATGGCTCCTTATCCTATGGGGAAGCATACGATGCTCCCGGGTGGAAGACTCGAGGTATGATGCTCGACGCAGCTCGTCATTATTATCCTCCAGAGGCACGTATAAGTTCAATCCGATGCGAATTTGAGTAATTAGGCTAACAGGAGGTGCTGGTCAGTTTATCATTGAATTGTGCTCTTACATGAGCTTTTTCAAGCAAAATACATTCCAGCTTCACCTGAGTGATAATCTATATAACAATGTCGGCCTGTACACTAGAGAGCAATCTTTGGAACTATACGCTCGGTTCCGCCTATGGTCTGATTCCGAATCTTTGGCCGGCTTGAACAAGTATAAGAATGAGTCGTATACGAAAGAGCAGTTCGAAGAAATCCAGTCGACTTGTGCTTCACGAGGAGTCACCATCATCCCGGAGATCGAAGCCCCAGGACACGCACTAGTCATAGTGCAATGGAGGCCGGAATTAGCACTTGAAGGCAGATTGTCGTTATTAAACATCTCGCATCCAGACTCAATACCTACTATGAAAACCATCTGGAGCACTTTCCTCGACTGGTTCCATTCCAAGACCGTCCATATCGGCGCAGACGAGTATACCGGCGATCCTAACGACTATAATCGATTCGTTAATGAAATGGCAGATTACATCTACCAAGAATCTGGGAAATCTATCCGCATCTGGGGTACTTTCCCTCCCAAGCCTGAATACAACAATGTCTACAACAACATCTCGGTACAACACTGGGCCTTCTTCGAGGACGACCCGTATCACGATTACATCCTGAACAACTACTCCGTTCTCAACTCCGACGACACCTATTACACCGTCCTTAAATATTCCGGAAGTTATCCACAGGTCGTAAACGTCGCGCGGACATTCAACGGCAACCCGGAGACAGGCGGGATATGGCAGCCCTACATCTTCGACACGAAAGTCGCCGCCAATAACCCGGAGAAGTCCAACCCCCTGGTCCTTGGGGCCGTAACGCCCTTATGGAATGACTACGGTGCAAACGCATCTGTCTTCTCTGAAGCTTATTATGCTTGGAAAGACGGGATCCCGGCACTCGCGGACAAGCAATGGGGAGGGGACCTCTCAGCGTCGGAATTCGCGGAGGCATTTTCGGCTTTACATCCTGTTATACCGGCCCAGAACCTGGATCGAGCGATCCCATCCGTTGGATCGACAATATTCAACTACACCTCACAGTCAGTCCTAAGTAATCATTACTTCACGCCCCTAGCCACATGGGCCGACACCACCGTCACCGACCAATCCGGAAACGGGTACGACGCACTAGCAAACTGTCCACTCACCGCGAATTCCACCTTCGCCATAAATTCTACCTGCTCCCTAGAAACGCCCCTCTCCTCCAAAGGCCGAGATTACACTCTTTCCCTCCGCCTTCTCATCGACAAAGTAGATAAAGACGCCACTCTGATCTCCGGCCGAGACTCCGCGCTCATGCTAACCCCGAACCTAACCCTCTTCGCCTCAGGTAACTACTACCGGTTGAACACCACAGTCCCTCTAAAGACATGGATCGACCTGGACATCGTAGGGCGGGGGAACCAGACGTTCGCGCGCGTGAGTCCCGACGGCGCAGTAGCAGCCGCAAAAGAAGAAGAGTTCTTGGCTGTATTAGGCGTCAACGGGGTTTCCCTCGTGTGGACGCCTATCGCCATCGAGGCGCCGCTGAAGCGGGTTGGTGGCAAGGACGCTGGATGGACGGGGCAGTTGGCGGCGATAAGCTTGAGCTCGGAGGTTTGAGTGGTGGGATGTAGCTAGGTTAAATAGCTGACATAGACTAATACCATTCGGTCGACTCTTACCCCCTTTATCTGCACACCAACCAGTTCGAGACAGATAGGCAAAGCAAAACTTTGTATTATCAGAATCGTGATATTATCTTCTTATCTCGATAGTGTGGCGATACCTAATTATATGTCCATGGTAAAGCTAGAACAGGGTGTCGTGCATATAGTTAGGTGCTCTAATATTCAATCTACGGAATTAGCTGATATAGACAATCAGACAGCTCAAGCCAGTCCGGTACGTTGCTATTAGAGATTCATCAAGTATTGTCAATTTTATTTTATTTTTATTTTGTCTAGTCTTTGTTAGAAGACGACTAGCTAACAGGTACCTATGATTGTGCTAGTTCGTACTATATAAGGCGACGTCTTCATCTTCATTTGATCTTCCATATGTGCCCCATCGAGCATATGGCGAATGTGTTACCATTGGAGTGGGGATGGACTAATATCCAAATCTGAGTCACGAAGTAAGGGAGCCGCTATTACCCTAGATCATAGACAAAGCCCAGTCATGATAGTATAATATCTTTCTAATATCTATACACTTATCACTGATCATCCAGCACGTCCTCAAGAAGCTTCTGCAAGGTAGGCAAGAAAGCCTGCGCCTTTCTGAAGTCTCCTAGCTTGACTCGCATGTAGTCAAATGCTACTAGGACCACCTCATCTAGCTCTGCCTTCTTGCTCTGTACCGCATCGGCGCGAATCTCCAAGTTTTCCTCCATTATAGGCACCTTCTGATACCTTTGCGAGAAGTGCGTCAGTAGGATCCTCCTCGCGCCCATGCGGCGGCCGACATCGATAGCCTCAGACATAGTCGAGTGTTTCTTAGCGATAGCATCACCTTGAAGCTCGTCGTCGAACGTGCTCTCGTGGATGAGCAGGGTGGCCCCCTTTCCGATCTCGACGAAATCGTCGCTCGGCCTGCAATCGCCCGAATACGCGACCTTGAGCCCAGACGGGAAAGTAAAGACCGTTGCCATCGCACCGAAACAGTGCCTCACGTTACAAGCCGTGATCTGTTCTAACCCGATGGCCCTCGTCTCCGTCTCCGAGAATACATGAGAACGCCCTTTGTTAAAATTGACAGTCAGAAGACGGTCGAAACCGTAGTTCTCGATGTCCGCGTATTCTCGCAGCCAGTCTATCATGTGCGTGTGGGACGCGACGAAGAGCTTAGCGGAGGGGTTTGACCGCGTCGTCTCGTCGTGCCATGCTTTGATGACGGAAGCGGTGCCTAGGTGATGGTCTGCGTGGAGATGGCTAATCCATATGCCTTTGAGATCTCGCAAGATTTCGGGGAGCTCGTTGCCAAAAACCCGCTGCAACTGACCAATCGTATTCTCGCCGCAGTCAAACAGGTAGTTACCGTATCCCGGGACCCGAAGGAGCGTAGAAGAGACGTTACGGTACTTGGATGGCAGAGCAGAGCCAGTTCCTAGAGGAATTATTTCTGCGTCTCGGTTTGGGATGTCCGATTCCACTTTTTCGATTTTGGCTAGAAATTCGGGATCTGAAACTCTCGCCTTGGCTTTTCGAGCCATTTCTAATATTTCATCATTCATATCCTCTCGGGCCAACCTTTCGATATCTGGAAATGGAATAATCTTGTCATCTCGATGAACGTACTGGGGTGCAAATTGCACAACCTTCCCAAGCTTGCTACTTTCGTAGAGAGAAGAGACATGCGTCGTCGAGGCGTTCGAAATTGAGACGTTATTGTCGTAAATGGGCAAGCGGAACCGGTCAGGGTCAATACATCGTAATTTGAAAGTTTGAGTTGTGACCGAATCAAATGCGAGCCTGTTCGGACAGTTGTCTGGTGAGGACACGATGTGTCTGATTGCCGACTTCTTTTGCATAAACTCTTGTAGCCGGGGTTCATTTACGACCCCAGGGCCAAGAATCCAGTAGATAACATGAACACCTTCCATAAGATTATCATTTGACCACTCCGTACGGTTCACGAGCGCATCGATGTAAGAAGGGTCCGGCAAGTCGACAACAGCAAACCCGTTCCCGGGAATATTCGGTTCCAAAACCATGTCTGGAGTTACTACAAACCCATCTTCACCCACTACATTCTGGCCACTCGTGAGCAGGCTGTAGGATTGCTTAGGTACGCCGTGCTTCGCAGCTACTTGGGGGTTAAACTTTCCTCGTCGTTCATGGGTTTTAAAAATATAGCACAAGGATTGGTTCGAGGGTTTCGTACGCGGCAGTGCGTGTACCATTGCTCCGGGCCATGGTCGACGTATTAATACAGGTATATCTGGTACCGCCTCTCCACTTCCTGGTAAGGGACCTGTATATACTTGGATGTGACCTTTATCATCCCGGACGTATATTTTCGCGGGTTGCTTCACTTGGTGCAAGGTGGTCTCTACCAGCGCGTCCATCTTCCAGTCCGAGTCAAACATCTGGGTGACTACGGTTTGAACTAGCTTTCTGTCCTCTTCATCGTCTAGGGTGGGTTGCTGCTCATCCACTTCGGATGTCTCTGCGAACTCCTCGTGCGTCCGTTTTCGAGGGCTAGTCGATACGATCGTTGTCGACTGGATAGGTATATACCACACCTTGACGTTGGTATCTTCCCAATCCGGTTTAGATTCTTGTTGTTCGATTAAGCGGGGGCCGTCGCGAACCTCATGGGGGTCCAAAGGCAGTCCTTTCCGGAAAATAAACCTGCGCGCCGTAGCGAGTAGGTGTGTCAAATTCTTGCCTCCGTGAATCCTAAGCCTCGGCATGACAATGTCGTTAAGAGCACGGAATTTACGATCCCCGAGCCCTTTCTTCTTACGCTCTTCGATATTTTGTTTGAGGCTATCTATCTTGGTAGCCAGGGTATCGGCAAGGACGAGGATAGTGCCTAGAAGGCCACCGGCATTTTGCCAGTTAACCACACCTGTTAAGAAAACATCTTCGACCTTCTGTAAGCCGATATTTCGCTGGACGGCAGCGCGCTGTGTTCCCTCGGCGATATTCCCAATTAAATAGCGCTTGTTGTCAAAGTGAAGCAACAAGCAAGCACCGTGTGTGTCGGCGGTAGGGGTCGTAATGACCTGGACAAAGTTCAACATACCGGTCCCCTGCAGCGTCGTGTGCTGGTTAAACGGAACGGTCTGAAACAGTAGGAATTGCGCACAATATTGTTGCTCTCTAGGAGACGCTCGCAGTAAGGAGACGTTAGGAGCTTGGAAAAGTGTAGTTGGGAGAGGTGCCTTTGCGAATGAAGACCTTGGGGGCGGGTCGCGATATTTTGGCGGGTTTAGGATATGCGGATTTGAAGTCTCGCGGAAGGGGAAAAGCCACCTTGGGGTCCTATGAATAATATTACGATATCTCATTAGGTTTTACGCCGGATGAGCCTATCAAGAATGACTCTTAAGGGCAATTCGAAACGCATACAGATGCGTATAAGTGAATTATCGATACCGATGCATCGCAATGCTACATGTTAGGTAACTAAGAAATTATTTCTTATCTTATCGATACTATGTATTCTGACGTACTTTGTAATCCGTACATGTACCTAAATTACGTAACTGTTGCTAGCGATTCTTAGATGGCAGTCATCCACACTTGTGTTTTTTATTAATGAATTAGTAGGTACCTAGGTACTTATGGTTATGGGTATACCAAAACAACCTTAGAAAACAGAGACTCTCATGGTGCCGGACTTGCAACCACAATTCCTGCTAGGGACGTGGCCTTAATATTGTCGCCTCCCTTACACCAACACGTACCAGCAACTTGCCCGACTACCCCTTTCTCATTCCACTAATAATTCGTCAGTAAATACCTATTTTTCGAGTAGGGAGATGGGGCTCTCGGTATCACGTACGACACAGCCAACATCGCTGCGCTTCTGAACCCAGTTCAGCGAGTCGCATAGTGCAAGACATTCCTCGAGCGAGTTCACCACTAGTGACGCCAGGCCTGTTCCCGTCAAGTCGCTGTCGCAGGCTATCTTGTATTGCCGGTGGTTTTCCCCCGATATCATACTTCCGCTTCGGCTGGGACACCCGGAATCTACTAGGGCCGTCGGTGTCGGTTCGGCTATAATTGTCGAACTAGTGCTGCTACTCTTTGGGCTGGTATTCCTAGTGCTGCTTGTACTGGTAGTTGATACACTGCTCGTAGATGAGGTCGTCGAGGGGGCAGCATGCGGCGACGAAGTAACGTCGTTGCTTATAGCTTCGCTATCCGCAGAAGCACCTAGACGAGTCATCAGAATCACCATCTCTACTGCATTCGTCTGCTATGGTTTGTCTAACCTGTGTTATTAACCGCACTATCATTACTCCTCAAACCTAAGCCCAGCCCCGTGCCTAGGCCGAGCGCCAATGCTACCACCGAAAACAAAGCTACTAGCAACCAGAAGGTAGGTTTCTTCAACCCGGCGATCTCAGCTTCATGGGACGCCGGACTGGTCTGCGGTTGCGCCGCGTCGTAGTTCTTGTACTCGTAGTACTGCGGATGGTAGGTCTCGGGAGCTACCTCTGGCGCCAAAGAATCCGTCACGAGCTGTGGTGCGGTGCTCGACGCGACCTCCATCGTCGAGTGCATCTTGATTCTAAGAGGCAGATCTGCAAGAGCTATGAAGACGAGCTAATATCCAGAGCCATTCTCATTATATTTGCACTCGTAGGCACCATTGATGCTGCCTACCTTACGATGCCCTGTGCCGGCCCCTGGCAGTCGCTGTGATGCTACCTACATTGCATCTGCATGTAACCCCCAAATTTCAGGGGTCGATATTGAGTTTATACATAGTAGATGTGAGAATATATGTTATAACGTCTCTATTTTAGATCTTTAAGTAATCACCGTTGATCTGACGCTCAATCTTGTCTTTCAATTTGAATTTAGTAATGAGTATATATATAAAGATATAATTACCTAGACTAAGTAACTATGATTGTAAAATCGTATCAGCTGTGATTATACGATATTGAGGTGTCTACGATATACAAATTGCGTAGTAAGAATGTCTAATTGTCAGCGAGTTTGACATATGAGGTGATGATACTCTGCGCTGTGACCTATCCGGGATTTCTTCCTACGCAGCCAACGACCTCAGCCGTAACCAGTAAGACCCAGCTATAATTGATCAATTCAGCCTTCCCCTACTTTAGAAGGAATTAGTATGCTATTCTGAAAATAGCGAAGAGATGCGACTGGCGTGCATACATAATTCTATTATTAGCGAATCTCGCACCCTTCGGTAGTCTTGCACGTTTCCTTTAATTAAGGAATGCGTAGCATCCGAAGGGCGCGAGATTCGATAGACAGCGCTAATAGGACTATTAAACGATACTCAAGATGTTTCCCGCAATATATGGCTGTGGCTTTGAAGGAGTAGTCACCATTATACGTCTATTATGAAGTACCCGTAGTTATATATATGAGGTATGTTTATTGGAATTTTCTGCGCATCGTACTGGCTATGTGGTATGAAGGAAGGTCTACCTGCAGCTTTATAGAAGCAATTCCCCTTGTAGCTAATGTCATAAATGACACCTAGGGGCTCTTGCCTGTTCGCCTTCGAAGTAGTGTTGATTGACTTCTATTGGGTGGCTATGGAGGACACATGAGTTTATATTATCCACGTTCCTCGACCCAATGACACTGTAACCATGGTCGATTATACCACCTCGAGCCCATAGCGTTTCCAGAACTGATTATTTCGTCCAACTGTACATAGTATTCCAGATACTTAATCTACCTCATTGGCTACTTATTTACCCTTGTAGAGTACTGATTCCGAGCTGTGACCGAAGTCTCCATATTATCATAATTGCAGCGGCGTCAACTACCGGAGGGTAGTTGGGACAAGTGTTGCGACATGGTCATCCTTGCCGAGGTCAACATCCATGGAGCCCGAATGCATCCCCTCCATCTGGTTTATGGACTTCGTATAAGCCCCAAGTCTTGTATCCACGTTGAGTATGTCCGCCAAAAATCTTTCTTAGCCTCCTCACAGGCCCCGAGAAACCCCTGTATGTCTGGTATTTTATGTAGCTCGTCGAGCGTTTGTGGTACCGTCGTGACGAGGAACTGAAGAGTATCTTCGGAAATTATTGGCTGAGTAGGCTCCAGGTCCATTGCCCAGATCAAACTTCTAACATAAGCATCCAATTTTTGCCGCAGTGACTTTTGCAACAGTAATTTCTGCTCCGTACTTAACAGCTGAAGCTCTACTTCTTTCTCCACTGGTTGGGGAATGGGAGGTAAGGGTTGGGTCTCGTAAAGAAGTACCGGGCTATTAGATTGCTCAAGCTTTGGCTGTGGCGATTCACAAGGTGCGATGAGTTCCATGAATGTTTCCTCGATGTCTGAATCATCATAATTGTCACCGTCGTCTTTTTTAGCCGATGCTTCGGCGGCATTGGACCGCGTTCCACCAATTTCTAATGATAGCCCACTACTCGGTAGAGGTCGCGATATGAGGATTTCCTTTGAGCGACCAACATTTCTGATCCAACTTTGTTTGGATGGTCGATCACCTAGCTGCGGTTGTTGAATATCCTCCGCAGCACACGAGGTCGCAGAGGTGTCGGTAATAGACGGTTGAGGGAATTCAGACTTGTACTCGGCCTTGAACTTTGCGATTATTTGGAGCCAGTCAGGCCCATACTCAGTTGCCTTGCTTGTTCCTACGCCGTGAACATTTAGAAGTTCAAGCTGGTTCGAGGGACGCTGCTTAGCGAGGGTTTCTAGGAGCGAGTTAGAAGCAACCATAAACAGGGGTCGGGCCTCTATAGCAGCACGAGCCGTCCGGTGCTCTGCCAGACGCCTATATAACTCCTTGGATGACCCATTTTCCTGCTGCTTCTGGTAATCATCTCTTGGGTGACGAGGAGCCCGATTCACAATTTCAGGCTCCAAAGGCGGATTCGTCTGAGTAGTGCTTTTCCTGGGATGCTTGGCAATGTCTTGTGCAATTATCTCTAGCCATTCGTCGCCATACGCCTCAACTTTCCGATCTCGGATGCCCTTCACCTTTAAGAGCTGGATCTTATTAGTCGGGCGGGTTTTAGCCAGCTGCTCCAGGACTTTATTTGAAGCTATCACATAGGCGGGTACATCATGTGCAGCAGCAACCCTTTTGCGATGCGAGACCAATTGTCCGAAGAGCTTATGCCACACTTCTGGTACAGATGAATCCATTATGTTGTCATTGTAGTGTTTTACTTTGCTCGCGAATGGTCGAGAAGTGAAGGCATCATTAGTGGTCATAATGAAGCTTGGGTTAAATTTCCATAGGCTTTGGCAGCTGACATATCGCCTAGGTAACGAGTATATGATTAGGTTAGTATTAGGACAGAGTCCCTTTTGACAAAAGCTGTTGCATTTTATATATAGCATGATATTTAGACTTGGTAAGTAAGTTCCATTGGAAAGTTGCTCCTACCTGCCTGAAGTAGTTGTACCTGTTATATGTACATGCACCTAAGTATATGCATGTATTGATGCGCACATGCATTTCAGTAAAAGCATATGCCACCGCATTATGTAACTACCTAGGTAGCTTACTCGTCTGCTGACCTCGGGACATCAGTTGATAAACGATAAACGATAAACACTAAAGCGCGGCTGCAATTTAGCCTCGTCGCTTCATCTTGGCGAAGTTACATCTATCTCGCATCTCTCTCTCAATTGATCTATATCTAAACACAGGTCGCTACCTGTATTATTCGGAGCTTGTTTTGGTGAAATATCCACCAATAGTTCCCATCATGGCGTCTACGCCAATGGACCTCGACGTTCCCGATAACTCGTCGCCTGCCAACGGTACACCATCCACCTCCCTCAACATCACTCGTACTCTAGGCGGCGGTCTACCTAGCACATCAGCTATCTCCGACACCGTGCACAACTTCAGACCTACGAAGGTACCCTCCTTGAGTATACCCGCAGTCTAACAACCTTTTCTTACTCGAGTTACAGTTATTTAGGCGCGACGATATTAAAGATGGACGGCCTCAACCCTTCATTCTTAGCCTCGATTATGACGACCCGGGAGAGCTTCTGATGACATCCGAGAGCGACGAGACCATCCAGATCTACAAGGTCCGAGAGGGTCGCCACGACAAGCAGCTCCTTAGCAAGAAATACGGAGTCAAACACGCCAAATTCACGCATAACAGCTCTAGTATAATATACGCGAGCACAAAGCAGAATGGTTAGGATACTATAGCTCTCGGTGCCTGTCATTGGTTGGAGACTTGCTGACAACGACACTTTATAGATGCGATCCGATACCTAACGACTCACGATAATGCATTTATACGCTATTTCGAAGGCCACCAGGCTGCCGTTACATGCTTGGCGATGCACCCTGGCAACGACGACTTCATCTCCTGCAGCAAGGACAACACTATACGGTTATGGAATGCTGGAACGAAGAATGAGACTGGGATTTTATACCTGAACACACCACATCTCGCAGCTTTCGACCCGAGTGGACAAGTCTTCGCCGTAGGATCGCCTAGCAGCGGCATGGTCTTGCTCTATGACCATCGAAAATTCGATAAAGCACCATTCGCGGAATTCGACATCGTGGAGGCATGCGCTTCAGTTGACTCTCATCATGTCATGCAGGGTTGGACCACGCTGGAGTTTGCCAACGACGGACGCTCTATCTTATTAGGCACCAAGGGAGGAGGTCATTTCCTTTTGGACTCGTTTAATGGCAGCCTGAAAGGATACCTACGAAAAACTGAAGGCGGAAGTAATAGGCTGGCGCCTGGTGAAGAATACATGCTTAACGGAGGCGGCCCGAGTGGTGCCAGCGTGGAGAGTAGCGGCGACTGTTGCTTCACACATGACGGAAGATTCGTCGTCGGTGGTGGGAGGAAGGGAGTTATGGTGTGGGATACACTAGGTAACGCGTCCGATAAGGTCTTGGATCCAGTTCACGTACTAGAAGACGAGAGGCCCGCGGCAGTAGTTGCCATCAACCCCCGATTCAACTTCTTCGCGACGGCAGATCAAGACCTAGTATTCTGGTTACCGGATCCGCATGCCTAGGAGGCGGCTGGAGGCTCATCCGTCGACGTCGATGTCGATGCGTCCATCTATGATTGCGATCTTATGAACTCGAATGAAGACGATTACCGGCCAATAGCGGATGGACATAGGATCCATCATGAAGTAGTATAAGTAGTGAACGAAGGTGAGGATGCGGCTAGCTTAGGTACGGAAGATACCCCCCCATTTTGCATTGCGAAAGGCGTCTAAAAGGACATCGTCTTGGCAAGTTCTTGCTATAGATGTTTGTATGAAATATAAAAATTTGGCTTGTCTCACAACATAAGACGTAACATTTTGTGACGATTAGTATTTCCAAGTGAAACACTTGGCTACCTGATGCGATGCTTCTAAAATCCCATTATTAAATAAGGTACCAACTACTTACCTTACCTGGGTATGCAATTATGAAGTATTCGTATAGTTTAAATGAGGCTCGAGCTAGGTACCCCGCGAGATTTCATAGAGCTCTAGATCCCTGTCTAGCTGTTTGGCCCCCACATCATCCACCGCCCACCACCGACACCAAACTTCATCGTCACTCGATTGGGCGAAAGTGCCAAAATTCAAGTCCAGCTCCACAATCCACTTCGACAACACGAAATCGTATATCCATAACCACCATACCGAGTATAAGCTGTGCCCGAAGATCTCAGATACTATTATACGAACAACCGACGAAATTTATTCCGCAGCAAAGCGGCATTCACTCGCGATGCCATACTTTGCCACGAGCCAGGAATGGCTGCACCAGTCTTCGCTCCTCCTTGAAGCACGACCAACTACCGTACGTCCATCCCTACAATATCATGTTATATTCCTATGTACACCCCATCCTTTGTATATAACAACGCAGCAGCACTTCCATCACCATCACCATCACCATCACCACCCATACCACTCCATCTCAAACCCTTAGCGCTAGAAGCCTCCTACTCCTAGCCATGTAACTAACCCTCACATATACCTATACAGACACGCATAACAACCAAATACCACATCAGCAAACCCAAGCCCCGACGCGCCAAAAAAGCCCCAACCTCCCCGTCCCCCTCCCCCTCCACAACGACCGACACCGCGCCCCGCGGCTCCCTCACCCTCAAAACCTACGACCCGCATTCCGGCGCCTGTCTCAAGTACCGCACGACCAAAGCAGCCGAAGTATCGCGCCTAATCCAGAGTCTGGGCCGGCCGTTGGGGGCCCGCATGGCCGCCCTGCCGTTACCCGAGGCCGCGGACGAGGTCATGGCCGATGCGCCGCTCGCGGCGGGGACGCCGGCCGAGGAGAAGAGGGGGGAGGATGTGGTAGGACCTGCGCAGCTAGAAGGAAGTACAGGTGGTGGTGGTGGTGGTGGTGGAAAGGCGCCGGGACAGGGACAGGGACAGGGGCAGGCGGGAGGAGGTGGCGGTGGTGGGAAGGGGAAGAAGAAGCGTGGGAAGAAATGAGGAAATGGATGATGAATGCAGAGGGAGGGAAGAAAAGGATTGGAAAGTCTATGTTGGGCCGTATCCGGTCGAAAAGAGATCCTAGACCTAGAGGGACCCGTCCGTATAGTTCCTTGCGATTACATCATAGCATCGCTATAAGGTTACTTATAGTTAGAATCATATTCAAAGCTTGATTACGAGGTAGGCTACAACCTAGAGAAAGCCCAGCGCTTGGACGCATACCAATGAACCTATTAATACGCACATGGCATTAAAGCAACATCATTTACGATTCAAATATCACGCAACGCCAAATCACATGATACCGATATAGTATGTCTTCATCATTTGCATCAATTGAGCTATCACTACGTCCGCGTCTCATGCATAAAGTCATTTGCCCCATTCGTCTGTCCATCCATTCGGAGCTTATTGTGTTTCATTCATTCCTCCGTGGGCCATCTCTTTCTTTGTAAAGAGGCCAGCAACGCCATAACGCCCAGTGATGATGACCGTATTGTGACAGATAAAAAGGGAAAATAGGGCTGAAGATCCAACGGGAACCGCCCGGTCAATGGATCCAACCGCAATTGTACCGCGGAGACAATTGCTCACCGGTCTATAGTTTCGTATTATTATAAGACCCTCTAAGCTCTACCCAGTAGGAGTCGCGTTGAGGGTAGTAGCGTGAATATAGTATTACACGAGGGCGGATCTAATCGAGAATGAGAGGGGGGTATCGAAAACAGACGTAAGAGAAAGAGGCGCGAGATGATCAAGCCGGCGAGAAGCTTAGAAGTCATCGTCGAAGGTGAAATCGCCTCCATTCTCACCCTCTGCAGGGGTGGCCACGTCGTCGTTCTTCTTGGTGCTGGCCATGACACCTGCCTTCTGGTAGTCACCAACACGCTTCTCGAAGAAGTTAGTCTTGCCACCCAGGGAAATATTCTCCATGAAGTCGAACGGGTTGGAAGAGCGGTAGATCTTCTCGTTGCCGAGAGCGACTAGTAGACGGTCGGCGACGAACTCGATGTATTGCTTCATCAGGTTGGAGTTCATGCCGAGTAAAGCACAAGGTAGAGCCTCTGTCAAGAACTCCTGCTCTATGGTGACAGCGTCTCTAATGATCTTCTCGATGAGGTCCTTGCCGGGGCGGTTCTTGAGGTGTGTGAAGAGAAGACAGGCGAAGTCGGTATGTAGACCTTCGTCACGCGAGATAAGCTCGTTGGAAAAAGTAAGACCGGGCATTAGACCACGTTTCTTCAGCCAGAAGATGGAGGCGAAAGCACCGCTGAAGAAGATACCCTCAACAGCAGCGAAGGCAATCAGACGCTGAGCAAAGGTAGAGTTCTTGTCAGCGATCCATTGCAGAGCCCAATCGGCCTTCTTGCGAATGCAGGGGACTAGACAAAGGTTAGCCATGTGGTAGTTTAGGTGCGGGTTAAAGTGGACTCACTAGTGTCAATGGCATTGAAGAGATGGGTCTTCTGGGCAGGCTCCTTGATGTAGGTATCAATGAGCAGAGAGTAAGTCTCAGAGTGGATGTTCTCCATCATGATCTGGAAACCGTAGAAGCATCGGGCTTCAGGGATCTGAACCTCGCCGCTAAATCGCTCAACTAGGTTCTCGTTGACAATGCCGTCTGACGCGGCGAAGAAGGCGAGGATGTGAGAGACAAAGAACTTCTCGTCATCGTTGAGTCGGTTGTTCCAGTCGTGAAGATCCTTGGACAGATCGATCTCTTCGGCAGTCCAGAAGGACGCCTCATGCTTCTTGTACATCTGCCAGATCTGTGGGGTAAATTAGTATATGACGCGTCAAAAAAACCACTTTACGCGTCTAAGACGCGTTACTCACCTCATGGTACTTGATGGGGAATAGGACAAACCGCTGAGGGTTCTCCTGTAGGATGGGCTCATCAGCCTCCTCAGGCCTAATAGTGGGCGCAACCGCGACCTTCTCTTCTTGCTTCTTCTCAATTTGTTGGTGCGAATCGATCTCTTTGGCGAGGGCATCGATGTTGGAGTCGAAGGGGGCATTCTCCTTGCCGGCAGAGAAGTCGAGCTTCTTGACAGGAGAGTCCATATTCAATGATTGCATGGCAGAGGCAGCCTATATAGTATAAAGAGTTAGCAACACTCATTCCAAGTGAACTAGGAGACAACGTCATGTACCTTCTTTGAGGGAGTGATGTTAGAGGCCATTGTGAAGATGTGAGGTTGAAAATAGGAATTGCAATTGCAGATTGGACAAGGGAGTGGACAATTGACTTGCAATGATCACCGAGTAAGAATGATAATCACGCGTTAAGTGGAAGTAGTCGTTGTTGTTGGGATGCAAGGACAAGAAGCGTGTTTAGAATAGGTCGGATCCAAAATCTTTTAAAAGCTGTCTCGCGCCGAGTCACGTGTTGAAATTAACTGGGATCGACGCGATAAAAAAACGCGACTAAACCCCCCGCCACTTTTTTTCACGCGTCACCCAGGGGCTGCAACCTTCCACTATGAAAAAGTACCCACGTCGTACCAAAATACCAAAATACCGTACAAGGTACAGTGCAAGATACAGTGCAAGGTACTAAAACAATTGTAAGGGCTGTTTTTGCAATTGGCCTATAATTGGCCCTGTAGCTAGCCTAGCTGTTCCCTTTTTTTCTTCCTTAGAAATGCAGCTCGGTCCTCTCGGCACTGGCTTCATGTGTCACAAAACAGGGATATCTACACCAACTAGTAGGATTATCAGATCACAGTCATCAGATAAACAAGCAAACCCAAAGGGGTATGGGTGAGATCCCTAGTTTCTAGCTGATTCAAGATCAGCTAATGATTACTCGTCACTATGTACGAATCATCATCGACTTTGGACTGTTTGATTCCGGACCTAATATCGGCCTTGTCGGTTACTGTCCTCGGATTACGAGCCATACCATATATGTATACGATAGGCTACCTATGTTTTCCAACACAGTGTTGAGTCGTAATAATCCAGAGTAACAGAGCTCGTCGTTTCAGATGGTGTAATCCAATCCATTGTCTCATAAAAATCTAATACTAGCCGCCATCTCATCCAATATGATCCCCCCTCCATTATGACATAATGTTTGTATGGTATCTTAGTCTCATCTATCCGCCCGCGTTTTTTGCCGTTGCACCTAGACCTGCTATGCTCATCCTACATCATGAATAAAAAGTGTCCCAATTTCAAAATAGTCAAGAATAATCAAAAGCATAAAAGCCAATTCGAACAGTAATGGTGAACGGTCTCGTACGGAATAACCAAATTCGTAGTAGCGTGACGCGTATGTATGTAGAGAAGCCCCTCCAAAGTAATTAACGCGATCTGATCTTCTTCTTAATTGAACCCCACAGTTCGTAATTGCTAGCGGGTCCCTAGTTCCGTCTACCAGCCTCGATATCAGCTGGACGAGATCTCTTGCTACCTAACCCAAAGAAACTTCTGCTCGAGCCTCCTTGTCTATCGTCATGAACCCTGGCTTGAGCGGGTTGTGACGGTTGGGTCCATTCGGTTGCGACACCAGTTTCCTGGGGAACATGGTCTGTTCGTAATTGACCTCCAGACCTTTCACCTTGACGCGTAACTCGAGACGACGCGCGCTCAGGTGACTCCGAATTAAATCGATCGAACTCGGCCGGATCGCTGGGGTCCACATCTGGCACCGGCAATTTACTTGCGCGAAGATTCTTCTTGCCTTTCTTTCGTAGATAATCTTCTAATGCCACCGCGTTGCGCGTGTTGGCAAGAATGATGGCATCGGCAATGTCTCCAACAAACGGGACCAAACCGGCGATAAGATCTATGAACACCAGCACATACATCCAGGCCCATATCTGAAACGGAAGCCCTCCTTCAACCTGCTTGGCAGTACGGACAACCATCATCGCGAGAAGGGCATCGACGACATCTCCAGCACTATTAAGTATGTTTATTAGCACGCGAATATATCCATGAATGGGCCGAGTTACTCACAAAGGGAAGAGGCCGATAACACTACCCCAACCAAACTTCAGCCCCATAAAGCTCCCAAAGCTCATATCTAGTCGGTATGCTCTTCTCTTCACCTTGGTCAAGATCATCGCATCGTGCTCTGAAAGGCCAGGTGGTAAGGCTTTGCGAACCTTCTTAATCTTCCCTGTTGGTGTGCCATCAAGCCTTGTCGCGGGGACTTGTTCGAAGTATGGGTCCTTTAATTTATATCATGTTAGTATCGTTTGCTTTGCGATTGACTTAATGCCGAGTTTATGCTATTAAGTCAAGAGCAGTAACAAAAAGGAATCATGTCGCTCACTACCGCTCCGAATTGGTTCCCTGCTGTTTCCTTCAGGATCTTTTTGGATACAAATTTTGCGATAACGCCCGCCATTTTGTTCTTAGGATCGAAGTAGAATTGATTGTCTGATTGTCTGATGGTAAATGTATTGGTGGAGAGCCGTTAAATATTGTCGAAGAAGTAGATTAAATAAGGAAGACACGATTGTCGTATCGTTCGGTGAGTATAGAATGGTTGGTGAATAGGTACCTATTAGATAGGTAGTATACCTCTGCTGCTTGTTGACTTCAAGTGAGTTAGTTTCGCATTCGCAGTCAAAGCACTTTTTAGAACATTAAATTCTCCCTCAGAGCAGTAGGAACAAAGGGAAGATTGAAAGACTTTTATTTATTGAAACTTGTAATGACAACTAACGAGACAATGGCGGTCTATCTAGGTACATACGTAACCCTGAATGTGGTTGTGACGTTTTTCAAGTTTTGCCTTTCCCTCGATGATTGGTGATCGATCATGTTGTTATGCGCCAATACGAGAGGCAGCCAGCCAAGTCCAGCATACAAGTCAGAGAAGTGATGATGTCAAACAGCAGATTAAATGCATTAACCCATTTAAGGTTAATCGATCTACCATGCTTTATGCGTAACATGTACCTAAAGAGTGGACCCATGTCTTGCCGGCGGCAGTCAACTCCCGTCAATATGGCTTGTGGCGCAGCCGTCCAGCCACACAAAACTCCAACTCACATCCGTCCCGTGACCATCATCATCGCGTAAACAAACCACACGATGTGTGTATAAGTGCCTTGAGGCCTCCCTCTGCGATGACATTCTCGCCACTAGAATTAGTTAGAATAAACGGCAAGTGTAAAGATGTTTCCTTAGTCTCTAACAATGAGCGTTAAAAGAAACAATCTGAAAAAATCGGCTGTATTTCAAGAGGTAATGTGTGCTCCTCTTTAATCTCTGGTCTATCATTAGCTATTATGGGAAGACTTCCCCTTTCCATTTATTTATCTGACTCATAAATAGCCTGCTCAGTGGCCCTAATCACGGCCCCAGGGAAATACAGTCAGTTACTATAGACATATGATCCGCTTCAACCTCTGTAAAGATTTGGGTTGATATTCCACGCCCACCCCGTTTTATACCATGCTTGTTTTCCCCGACTTCCGTACTGCCAGTCTAGGTGTTATGAGGATTATTATGCTTCCAATAACAATTGTTGATCCTGCCCAAATCTGCCCCCATATGTATTTACCTCCGCTAGCATCAATGATGGCGCCCATGGTGGGAGGTCCGGACAGAGTAGCAAAGCCGCAAAGGCCGAACGTCATCCCGATCCATGTCCCCATCTTCCCCACGTCTTCAACAAAGCTGCTGGCTGCACTCGAAAATATTCCCTGAGCAGCTCCGTTCACAAACCCCATAACAACAGAATAAGCATACATGTCTGCCCGCTTACGGACACCTATCCAACCAAACGCCATGATCCCTAAGGCAAAGCAATTCAGACCATAAGTATCGACAGGGCCGACATAACGGTCGGCGATGTAGCCGAACAAGGGGCGCGCGGGCATGGCAACCGCATTGGTAATGAGCACGAAATTAATGGACTCCAGGTCGCTTAGTCCAATACTCTCGCGAGCAAACGAGTTGATCTAGTAGAATATGGTTAGCACCTAAGCCACATGCTGTTATCAAAACAAACCGGTTAAGGACTCACGTATATTAACATTGTGAACAGAGAGAAATATATGAGGAACGCGCCCACGGTAAACAAGGTGTATGGGATATTCCTAAAGGCACCCAAGTCGAGAAGAGGCGCAGGGGCTCTCCGCAGTTTCCGCGGCTTCAAGAGGCTGAATCCAACGATAGCCAAAATAATGCTTATGAACCCGCATATCCTGACTGCCCACGGAAAGCCAACCTTTGGTGTCAAGAACTGGATAAGGGCCGGGTATAGGATAGCGCCACTACTCGACCCGCATCCGTTGAGGGACACGGCAAGCGAGCGCTTCTTCTTGAAGTATGTAGCGACATTTGCAGTCGCAGGCATGAACATCAACCCAGCACCGATACCCTGACAGAACCCCTGCGCAAGCAGAATCTGCCAGTACGTGTTCGCTAAACTGGTCATGAACATGCCGAATATGCACATTACAGCTCCAATGGCATACAAGTGCCGCGGGTATCCTGCGTCTGATAGTCGTCCAGATATCATCCCGATGAGGAAACATAAGAATATTTGTATCGAGCCTATCCAAGACACCTGCGAAGCCGGCAGATTCAATGTCTGTTTATAATAGAGCTGGAAAACTGAGAAACCCGTCCCGTAACCCCAGGACATCATATTGGCGATGTGGGCCGGTATAATTTGAGACCACGCAACCCACCCTCCATCTGGTGGCTCGTCATGAGGTATAGTATCCGAAGGAACGTCCATTTTTCTGGCATCTTCTCTTACAAGGACTGTAGAGCTATTCTTCGTTTCGGGTTGGGAGCTCGAGCTTCCCCCTGAGGAGGATGTTATCGTCATATTTGTTGATGAGGTATGATCAAACGCATCGGTATTGTGTTATTGGAAATATTCCGAAATACCTATTGTTATTAACAAGATTTTGGCTTAAGAACAGGGCAAGTGATGGTTATATACAGGCTATATACATAGGTTCATAGCCAAAACTTTACGGCGCGTTCAGACAATATAAGCTCCCCAAGCTATATACGCCCCTAAACTTAAACCACCACAGTATTTGAGAAGCTCCGACATCGCTATTTACATTATACTGTTGTTCATGCAGTCTACATTATGAAATATTATAACTCCACCACAAGGGCGTCGCCAGAGGGTATAATGTATAGGTTTGTGTGCGCGTACGTCCGATCGTGTAGGCGAACCAAGACTACCGACGTCTTGCGCTCAACTATTTCGGAGACGGGAACGGGAACGGAGCCCCGATGTCCCCCTTAGGCATTGATGGCCTGGCTCTATCCTATCAGAAGGCAGGTATTTCTTGATAATCAAGGTCGCAATAGACTAATTGCATCATGTAGAAAGGTAGATATATCAGATGTCAATGAAATCAAATCCGATAGCGCTACGTATTACTCATAGCATAGCATAAGGTCTACGATATAAGAGTTATGAAGCCGTGCTGTAGCTGTAGCGTCGTCTCGGGCCGACGCAATGCTACAATCCCAGTCGATCGTTGAAAATGTCGATTATTCGTCTAATTTTTCCATACTTCGGTCTCTGCAAGTGTGTGATTCTCGGTATAGTATTGTACCTAGTTAAGCTGTCTCCTGTGACGTTATCGTCGATTCAAAACCGGTGTCGCTAGAGTTTGATATCCTAATAGGGGCTTGGACTTCAGATGCTTCCCCAGAGTTTTTGCTTCTTTACGTCCTACTTACGGAGGCTATCTTGTAATAGGAATGCGATAGCAACATGTCGCATTTGTGATAGGCTAATCCCTCAGACCGCTTCTCCCCTTTGAGAAAGATAAAATTCAACAAGGCCCCACTTTAGTCATCAAGCTTCAAAAGACCGACCAAGCAGAAGTAAGCTAGGAAAACGTAAAGTAAAAGTAAAACTGCCGACCAAGCTGTCAACCTACAAGTACGCTAATAACGGCACAAAATACCACAAGTCGCGTGGTCTAATGGTTATGATTTCTCGTTCACATTGATGTGTTCAAAGTTCCGAGAAGGTTCCGTGTTCGATCCACGGCGTGACTATATTTTTTGCGTCTGTTTGCTTCTAAAGATGAATATACTTTTTATCTTTATACCCCCCCTACCTATCTCCGTTTATTTTAATTTTTTACACCGTGCCAAGTTCAGCTATGTACCTAGATTTAAAAACTCATTACATTTTGAAACTTAGAATTCGGCCAGCTAATTCCGACGTGTACAAAATAAATAGCACATAGGTAGTCAATGGATTGGAATCAGATGCTTTCAATACCCCTTTTCGGTTAACAGCAGCAAAAAAGGGGCGATGGATTAAAAGTGAGACTTGATGCAAGAGGCCGTTGTCAGCGGTAAGTAATAATTGTCCGACAATGCGATGGGTGTTCGTCATTGATACTATGCGGTAGAGGTATGTGGTATGTGGTATGTGGTATGTGGTATGTGGTATGTGGTATGTGGTATGTGGTAGGTATGTGCTCTCGAGAAAGGGGTGGCGCAGCCAGTGTCTTCGAAAATGCCAACGCCCGCTGTCTGTATGCCAGCCGTCGAATACGAAATGGGCGCTGACAGAATGGCGTCTATATAATCTCCGTGTTGAGAGGCTTTATAGTGCATGCTACTTCGTATCCCAGTCACGCCATTCCGTGGGTATAGTTTCGGCTCGCGGCAGGGGATGGGCGCGTACAGTATGCTTATGTATATCATATCTATGCGTGTGGTATGGCAATGTGAGTGAGCGGGTGAGTTGGATAGATATACGTCATAGTATTGGATCTTGATAGATAATTAACTGAGTTCAGAAGTTACAGAACGAACCGATATAACAAGGAAAATAATGATAGGTCATAACTTCGCGGAATATCCGTATCCATGGCCTCGGTGCGCTCCGAGACGGAACACCAACAGATATCTGGGGCATCGCATTGTGGTTCCTATGTGGTAGGTGAGGTATGATGTAGGGCTGCTGCACTGGACGGCCTGACATCTTGGCTGGCATACTGCGATCGTTCCACATATCTAGTAGTGCACCACATATCCGGCCTGTGATCTCGAACCCTGCAGTGTTCGAGCGACCTACCTAGCTACCTAGCTACCTACCTAACTACCCAGCCTACTTACTTACTGACTACCTACTTAGCTACGTAAATCAGTGGCTTCGTTCGCATTCGCCTATGCTTGCCTCGGCAAATCCAAGACAATACGAGCGAATGGCTGGCAACGTAATGAGCTTACTCGTCGGTTTGGATGGTTCTCACCCTGTCTGCATGTAGCCGGCGACAGCTGGGCTTGGCAGCTAATAGACTATAGACTATAGGTGCTTGGGCATTGATTATCGGGTTGATATTTTTTATTTATTTTTTGGTGGGTGAGAGAGGTAATATATATGGGCGCGTAGGGCAGATCAGATCGCCTGACTCTCATGCGAACTCGAGGGCCCGTCATATGTGATTTGCCGAGGTACGATGGCTTCGTACGCGGTAAGAGGCTCGTTTCGAGGACGGGGTATTATTTCTTTGATATTCTATACGCGTATGGTTGTACTTCTTCCAGTCTGGGGAGCATTTATTGCCGTTTACGTCTTATCTGCTCCTGCCTGTCACAAGAAGCCGGCGCTCATCTACCAACTGTGCACTCGTATTAACTCGTATTAACTCGTATTATAATTCGCAGTTACCTATACCATGGAGGGGGGTGGGGGAGGGAGATTTGGTGGAACTTGTGCGAAGGCTGACGAGTCCGTCCTATGGAGAGCAATTTCTTGATCCTAATAGATTATTAGTGAGATAGAAGATCTTGTGGTGAAACATCACGATTAATCTTGCTTGTCACAGCTACCAAGTTACTTCTATCACACAAATGAGTTCATGCTGTCCACAGACCACTATACTCTAGCCCCGTGCTCACA